ATTTAATGGCTATTTAACCAAAAAGCTTAAAGGCACTAATTGATCTTAAAAATGTCTTTAAAAAATGTGTGAAAGCGTTACATTTTTCTCATATTACACTCTAGAAAAATATGTTTCTTTTGCAATTTTTTAATCAAAGAAAAAAATATGTTTCCCTTGAAATTACTGAGCTAGAAAAAAATAAATAAATAAACAATACAGCCCCTTACTGGGTTAATTGGTTTTCAGCTTCTCCTCGGATTTCCACAAAACACACTTGTTAATTTTAAATTTAATTGACAAATGCCAGACGGAAATGTGTATTTCTGTTTTTGGCTTAAATAATTATTTTTTTTTTTATTTATATATTTTTAAGAATATTATTTATTCTGAATGATGTCATCGATTCTACTTGAGATCTTCAGGGTCGATTCAAGTTTTTTCCCACACAGAGCAATAAACTTTAAACCAGAACGCCTTCTATGGGTATTATGGAAATACCGTTATTAGCCGGTAAAAAAAAAATAGTAAAAAAAAAAGATCAAAAGACCTCCGAGAGCAGGTGAGTTGCAAACGGAAAAAGATCGATCATTGTTTAGGTTTTTTTTGTTTTTTTTTTTTGCAGATTCGATCGATCCATCATTGCCATATTGCCATATATGTGTGATATTATTCATAGATCTATGGTTATATAGGTACATTTGATATGTGGGTAGGAAGTCATCGCATTGGTAGAACCTTGAACCCCAAAACTCCAAAAAGACAAAAGCCGAATGCCGAATACCGGACAGTTGGCTGATTTTATTCATTGTTGATTTTTGATTGAGCAGCTACCAGTACAGTACATTTGGGGGCTGTCTTCTATGGCCAATATCGATGCCAATCTGTTGATTGGCAAAAATAATACAAACAAAAAAATAGACAATAAAAAACAGTCAAAACGGCAGCAAATCCGCTTAGCCAACTCCCTCTCTTGTTAGTTTTTGAAACGAAATGGCCAAAAAAAAAAAGCGAGGTGGCGGCATCTGTTTGTAATTTCAAAAATCAACAATTGTTTGGTACAGTAAAACTTCCTTAAGAAATATTATTAGAGATTTTATAAATTTTTTTATTATTTTTTGAAAAGATTTTGGAATAAAATACAAGTTCTCCTTTCAACCCAAACCTATCTTAACCATATCATATCATACTCTTAATGAGTTATGACTGTATTTCTGTTTATTTGTTATTTATTTTTTTGCAATGTCATTTTATTTATTATTTTTTGTGACTGACTGACTGTTATTTCTGCTCGCTTTAAATTTTTTTTAATTTAATTTGCCATTTGCGGAAGCAAAAATATATAAAAAAAAAAAATAAATAATTTTTTGCACTAACTGCTTCTGTTGACTGCGCTGCTTCTGTTGACGCCCGCACTTACGGAACCGCGCCGGTGTTACGGTATAATGCGACAGTTGCAGTTTATTTTTATGCTTTTTCTTCTCACCCGTCGCCCCCTCTGCCTTCACCCCATAGCAATTGCTTTTAGTAGTCATGTAATGTTATTAACGCCATATTGACACACATTTTGCAGAAAGCAGAAAAAAAAAAACGAGCAAAATCTAAGCTAATTACGTGACGGCAAACGTAACCGAGCTTGTGTACCTGTACTGTGTGTGTGTGTGTGTGTGTGTGAGTCTATAACCCCTTCACGCACATAGACAGGGGCTGGGGCTGAAAAAAGAGGATAGAAGAAGAATTTAAAATTCTAAAATAGGATTCTATGCAAATTATTCATATTATAAAACCCCTTTTTAAAATATATTTTTAAATAAATATAATATAAAAAGTAATATAATCCCCCCTTTTTCTTTGCCTACACCCATCTCTATTCTCTCCTCTTCTCTTCTTCTTATAAATCTCATCGTTTCCTTGCCGGAGAAATGCTTTCTTCTTGGCTTTTCTACCTGGTATGCTTACATCGCTTCATCGTCACGTATTTGTGATATGATTGTGGGCGTTGCGGTGGAGGGGACGTGGTCAGTGGGAAGTGGGCGGTGGGTCAGAGGTCGACCCACTTTTTCAACGTAGAAACCATATGGATAAGACGCTAAAGAAGAAGTGCGAAAGGAATAGAGAGCTAGAAGAGACGGAAGAAGAGTCTGAAGTCATGTTAATTGCTTCGACACTTGACTCTTAAGGGGGCGGATGCGGATGTGGATGCGGATGTCAGGGCACTGGGTTAGTTACTGCTTTAATTTCTTAGCTGCAAGTATTTAAAAGTTAAAGAAATTTTAAAGAATTTTATACTTATTTTAAAAGAATTTACAAAGAAGTCCATGTTTTGGAGGCTTAAAGATAACTCTTTTAAAGTTTAAAATCTTAAGCTTAGGAACTAAAATTAGAATAAGAGATTTTTTATTCATTAAAAACAGTTTCCAATTTCGTATAGTGCCTAAAAGAAAATGTCATACATGACGTATACGTAATCTGTAAAGCAATTCCCAAAGAACGTTATACATGTCGTATACTTAATTTTTTCGTATAATGTATGTACTTATAAAATAAATTGAATACTTTCTTTATAAACAAAGTACCATACCAGCAGATCTTACTATTAGATCTAAGATAATTTTAAGAATAAAAAAGTAATACTATTACTGCTATAAATTTCATGAAATTCCTGAAAAAATTCCCCACTAAATCCCCAGAAATAAAATCAATCTCTTTTAGATTTCCGTTGATATTTTACCCCGTTAGCCAATATCGATTTATCAATGCAACCTGCACTTGCACTTGCCTCATCGGCATCCCAAGAAAATCAACAAACAACAACAATAACAACGAGAAGAAACAAAATACAAATACAACAAGTGGCACGTGCTCTCGCTCCGTTGATGCAAGAAAGTTGATGTCATAATAACCGTTGCCACGACAATCCGCCTCCCACCCACCTATGTTGTATGTATGTATTCCCTCCCCCTGCCAGCCCCTTGGCGCCTGAAAAAGCTGTCGAATTTCGAAAGTGAAAAGGCGATGCTGCATTTCGATGCCCCCCGACTTCTGCCGCCGCAACCGCGATTATCAAATATGCATGTGTCAGTCCATCTCTGTCACACCATTCCAGCCACTCTGAATGCATTATTCAGAAGAGGAAGCAGAAGATAAACAAACAGTCACAGTACACCTAAGCTTAAAATAATGGGTTAGCTTTAAAAAAAAAAAATAAATATTAAAAACAATAAATAAAATTTAATATCTTAAAAGAATAATAACAAATAAATAACAACATTTTTATTTTTAATCTAAAACCAACTCCCATCGCACTATTTGTGTGACCTCCACTGTACAAAAACAAAAACTTAAAAGCTCCGCTTCGTTGCGGTTCTAAGCCGCCGCTGTTGCTGCTTCTGCCGCTGCCACTGCCGCTGCCTTCAAAGTGAAACCAAGGCCCAAAACCAACTTCGTGGGCAGCAGCTCAGCCAGAGAGAAGAAGATGAGAGTAAGCTTTGGTTGCCAGCGGGGAGGGGCGAAGTGGGGCGAAGATGCATTCGACGCCTCTGGGCGGTCGAAAAGTGTTGTGGGCGTCGCAGTCGCAATCGCAGTCGCAGTCGCAGTCACAGTCGCATTCGCGGCTTACCTTGCAGGCGGCATGATAAGAGCTTACAGCAGAAGAAGAAGAAGAAGAATAAGAGGGGCAAGGCAAGAAAGAAGAAGAGGCAGAAAGAAAAGGAAATGCTAAAGTTCGACTCCGAAATGCTCTTGAAACGGGGCGTATGAGTAATATTATTTGACACTACTGGCGTTACGTGTCGTATGCGTAATTTTTGTTTAATAATAAGATATTTTTAAGATGTTTTTATATATAAATGTTATTTATATTAGCAGTTTAGCTTAATAAGAATTTTTTACAAATATAACTTTTAATATTCTAATAAGATATCTTTTAAAAAATGTATTTCTGCCAAAAATCTCGCACCTTTTTTGCATTAATATTAGCAATTACTTTAATATACCCCCCCTTCTGATCAAAAGTCCATCCTTGAGAGAAAAAAAAAACGTCAGCAGAGCGTCATCGTCATTGTCGTTGTTGTGGCGGGATGCCCTTTTTTGGGGTTAGGGTATAATATGGTAAAGTGAAACAATAAACACCAAATAAAGCATTTGTCAGAAAAATAATAATAAAAAAAAATCAAGAAAATTATGAAGAGGAGAGGCGTTGCACGATGCCGAGCCAAGAGAGATATAATAATATTGTTTAAATATTAAATTATTACAACAAAGTGTGCATAAATGAATATGGAATGATGCAAATGGAATTGGAAAAATGGAAATGCATGACACGTCGATGGCTATAACTTTGGCTATATCTGTTCCTGTTATTGTTTTTATTTTTGTTGCTTTTTTTTCATCTTGACTCGCCTTGAATGGAACTTGGTTTTGGGTTTTGGTTTTTGGTTTTGGCCTGGAGATCTCAAATTGCGGATGATATAATCCCAAACGTCAAATGTGCCAAAAGGCAGTTAACCAGGCTAAAAAATATTCAAGACACTTGGAACAAAAAATAAAACCAAAAACCTAAAATACCTTAAATTCCAAATTTATTTTTAACAAACCCAATTATTTTTAAAAATAATGACACTCTATAAAGGAGAACAGCAAGAAAGTATTGTCGCGACGTTGATCGTTCGGCGCGTGTGTTGCAGGTTGCAAGTTGCTATTTGCTAAATGGGCAGCTATGATGTGGCAAGAGGCATGCAAATCAGGGGAAAGATTAAGCAGATTTGGGATTGGACAGGGGGCAGGGCGGTGTACAGCCTAAAAAATGCCGTGCTAAATTCTTTAGCTGCTTAAAAATAAATCGGTTTGGTTTTCTAGTTTTTTTTTTTGTATTTTTGACTTTCACCCATTCGGGCGATGTGGCGGCAGTCGCACTTTTATTTTTTGTATTTTTTTAAATATATATTTCTGCCTCATCTCGTTTGTAATGTCTCCTAATAATTCTTATTTCTTATTTATATATTTTTTTTATTATTTTCTAGCATGCAAATAATGTACGACAGGCGGCTGAGGATTATTTGGCGCGACGTCAGGCTCGCAACAAATCGATGACCCGCTCGATGACCTCCGGCCTGGCGGGTCCGATCCTGGCACTGGGCAACGTCCACTACCTTCCGGCGGCCAAGAGTGGCACCTTCTTCTCCCGCGACAATGTCTCCAACTTTATAACCTGGTGCAGGTGGGTTTATTTTATAAAATAGTATAATATTATGGATTTTGAATACTTTTCAAGGAAATTAATTTCTTTAAGAGACTCTAATACCAACTAAGACTTATTTTCATTTGTTTATATTTTTTTTATAATTTAAATATATTTTTTATTTAACAGAAAAAGCCTAAAGATCATCGAGTGCCTGCTGTTTGAAACAGATGATTTAATTATGCGGAAAAATGAGAAACATGTGATTCTCTGTCTTCTAGAAGTGGCCCGCAGAGGAGCCAAGTTTGGTGAGTCTTTTAATTAAAATTAAAAAATAAATATATAACTTAAATTTATAAATATTATTAAAATATAAAATAGGTATGCTGGCACCGATGTTGGTACAAATGGAGCGACAAATCGATCGGGAAATCGCCGCCGACATCAAGGCCAATAACTCCTCGGAAAGTGGCACCCAGACGGAGGCCCCTAATTCTGGTATCAGTACCACCACCACCACGACAATAACCACAACTACAGTGGAAACGGATCTGTATGATGACAGTGATGACTCGGATAACGAGGACGATGCTGATGAGAATCCCATGATGATGTATGGTCCTCAGCCCCAGATAATCACAAATGACTTGAAGAGTTTGGATGAAATGGTAAGTGATATGGATTCTTAAGGGGGTTTCTTCTATTTGGATTTTAAAAATTAGCTAAAGGTTGTCCAGGGAGGGGAGGGGGGGACCCATGTTGAGATGTCAAATTAATTTGACAAGACGCTGACGATGTGCCAACAACAATTACAATTACAACAATTGCAATTGTCAATGTAATTGCATGTGTGATGGCAGCAACATGGGGCAGCAACATGGGGCATCAACATGGGGCATGAACAAAAAGGATGAGAGAGGATGCAATGGAAATCATTGACGGCCAAACTAATGAAAGCCATGCAAACATTTCCTCACGCCGCCAGCAACATTGACAACAAAAGCAACACAACCAACATAAGCAACATGAGCAACAACAACATTCGACAGCTGGAGGATGGATGGTCACTGGATAGATGGGACATGGACCTGGACATGGTCTTCCTCCTCCTTCTTTCTTCTCAAAGAAAAACCACTCCAAGGCAGCCAATCAATTTGTGCAGCCACAGGAGCAACAGCAACAGCATTAGCTGCCACAGTCGTTGCAACTGCAACAGCAGCAACTGAAGCAGCAACGGCAGCAGCAGCCAAATCAGCAAATAGCCTCAACAACTTGTCGAAAATCAAATGATGCGCCACCAACAGCAGAAATGAAAAAAAAAAATAGGAAAACAAAAAAATAACAAGATAGCCAAGTTTAGAAAAAAAGGAGGAAGTTTTGGATGCTCTTTCTTTGAAAATAGATTTTTTTATGAAAAAGTTAATAACAAAATCTGAAAATCTTGAAGAAGCTTTATATCATGGTATACTTTCTTAAAACATCCTAAAATTCCGTCTTCTATTTTCTATAGAAGCTATAGGATATACATAGTTAGCTGATCACAGAAGTATCTAAACCTTATAAACCCCAAAAATAAAGTTAAAATAGTAACAAAAAGACTTGAAATAGAAAGAGATTTAATGACTAAAAAAAATTTCTATAATTCTGTTCTTTATTTTATATAAAAGCTATAAGATATAGTCATTAGATCCTTTGAGTATATAAATAATATCTCAGCTATATTTAAAATAGAAAGATTTTCAAAACATAGCTTGCAATAGCTATAAAATAGTTTCTTCCATAGAAACACTTCCAATATATAAAATAGGATAAATATAATAAAATAATAACATTAATAAGATTATCCTTATTTTTCGAAAAAACCATAGTACCCTTTCCTATAGAGCATATAAAGCCAAAACCAAAACCAAAAACCCAAACCCAAAGACAGCCACGATCATTTGTCGACTCGAAAACTCTAGAGCTCCATCTCAAACTGAAAACTCTGGCACGTCCGCATAGCTAGACTGAGAAAAAAAGTTCAAAAACTTAAAAAAAATATATATAAATAAATATAAATTATAGATATTTAGCTAAAGATATATTTCTTATTTAAAATAGGCTGCTAATTAAAGAAATACTAGAAATAATAGAATAATCAAGGGGGAATACTATAATCTAGGACCTATTACCCTTGAGAGATAGTTCAGAGGACTTTAGAGGCAATAGCATGCTAATAGGAATATAGGAATAGTAGGAAGAATAAAAGGAACTACTAAAAATAGTATAAATAATTACCTTAAAGTCACATATATTTTTCACACTGTACTATGTCTGTCTTGAAAAACCAAGTTGCTGCCGCTTTGTGTTGCTGCTGTTGGTGGCATGCGATTTATGGTTAGGCCAGGATCACATCGCCATCGCCATCGCCAGCCATGGCCAGCTAATCTCGTATGCGTCAGAGTCACGCCGATCCCCGATCTCTGGCAGATCGCTGCCAGATGCCTGAATCCCAGATCCCAGATGCCTGATGCCTGATGCCTGATCGCCCCCCAGCGGAAAGATTTATTGTCATGTCGATGGTTCCAGCATGGAAGCTGGTAACTTCGAGTCACCATTCAAGTGGAGAGTAGCTTAGTACCTCCACCTGGGCACGCATCCCAGAGTTGGCCCAGAGTTGCAAAAGTTCAAAAGGTGGCAAAGGTGCGTTGCAAACTCCCCGACTTGCCACAAACTACAGTAGCAATGGGCTAAAAGTTGCAAGATGCCAGATGGAGTGGGGAGATTGGGGAGATGCTGATGGAGCCAGGGCCAATATACACTTTGAGAAAAATCTATAAAGTTTGTCACTAAAAAGTAGGATATTTATTTTCTAATTCAAAACTCAGGGTCATCTTAGGGTCAAAATTAAACCTAAACTTCCATTAAAAAAACACTAATTTGAAAGCCCCGATTTCTCTCAGTGCTGAATGAGACCCAAGTCGTCATTTGTTTGTCTTTTGCCGCCTGCTGGGACGGACAACTGATGCTGGAACTGGGAGGCTGGCAGGCAGGAAGGCAGGCAGGCAGGAATACTGGACTGGTCTTTCTGGCTCCCATGGCCCCCTGCCTCTCCCTAGGGCAAGGGTAAGCCCCGAAACCCCAAAACCCCAGGTACCCTCCTCCACATCCACCCTCCTTGTCCTCCTGGTCAATCCTTAGGTCCCATGAATCCCCCTGGTACAAATCATTTGTTTGTTGGACAATGGCAGCGCGTGAATTTATGCAGTGAAAAACTATTTGGTGACCCCGATGCTCGTCCCTGCTCCTTCTGCTGACCCCTTTCCCCCTTTTTTTTTTTTATTTATTTTCCTTTGGCTTTCTTGCAACTGCAACTACAAAGGCAATGGAAGACAACCAGAAACTGCCACTGCCACAGAAGTCGGGAGGGAGTTTGTTTTGAAGCTTTTGAACTGATCGGGGGTCAGACTTATGCAATGGTTCGGGGTCACCCCAGGAAATGGAATAGTACGATTTTGGTTACAAAAGACAGAACAAATTTGTGTTTAATTATACAGTCATTAGACTAACTTAAGTGGGCTTAACTAATTGCAAACAATAATGCTAATTAAATTGTGGAAAAAAATCGAAAGACTATAGGCATCTGTCAACGTTGGACAAATAAGGAGGGTCCATACTACAACAGATGCTGCAATGTATTAAGAAAATACTTTTAATTAATATTTATAGATTAAATTATAATATATATAACTAGCTAAGAATATTTATAGATAAAACCCACTGTTTTTTTTACTATTTTTAGGTCAGGGATCTGGTGGAGAAGTGCACTTGCCCCTCACAGTTTCCCATGGTCCGAGTCTCCGAGGGCAAGTACCGCATTGGCGACACCAAGGTTCTCATCTTTGTGCGGGTAAGTTACCTTCTTGACCCTCCATTCGGGATTCTCATCACCTTATTCTTAGATCCTGCGCTCCCATGTTATGGTGAGGGTGGGAGGCGGTTGGGACACCTTGTCCCACTATTTGGACAAGCACGATCCGTGTCGGTGTCGTGCCCAGCATCGTAGCTCTGTGGCAGCCCGCCTCATACCCCGCCAGTCTCCGAATCACAATCCCAGCAATGGCATCGAGCTCCACAAGGCCCAGGTGATATTCGAGAGGTGAGTGATGCGGCAAGTTCTCTTCCAGGATGATCCTCCATTCCCTCTCCTTACCAGATCACCGCCAGCAGCTCGTCGGGTTTTCCAATCCAATGCCAATTGCAATGGCGGAGGAGCAGCATCAGGATCGGGCACTGGATCCGCCGCAGCACCCGTTCAGAATGGAAACAATAGCCTTTCACCGAATTCCGGAAAATATCGCAGCCGTAGTCCAACTCCACAACGTAAGTTTCTCAATCAGCAGCAACAGCAGCAGCCGGCGCTCTCCAACGGAGGCAGTGCATCCACTGCGGAGGCCACAAACGGACAGTATCTGGCCTCGCCCAGCCTCGCCAGGCGATCCATGTCGCCGAGTCCTCGTCGGTTGATCGATATGCGAAAGAAACAGAACTCCCTGGACTCGTACAGCAATGGACCCAAATCCCTGCCGGGCTTCAGTTGCTCCCTGGAAGACGCAGCCGGATCGGGAGCCAATGGCGGAGGTACAGTGGGATCGGGAGGAGCCAACAACGGAGCGGGATCTGGAGGGGAACAGGGTAATGCCAGCAAGTTCGAGAACATCAGCGACAATGGCAGCGAAATCAGCGACGAGGGATATCGCAGCTTGGGCGTCATCCAGTCCTCCAATGCCCAGAAACGCGAATCCCTGCACAGTCAGGCCTCCATCGAAGATGCAGAAAGCAATGGTAAGGATCTGGGTTATAGAATAGTCTAATTTTTACGAGGATTACTAATTTTTTTTTTTTAATATTTAGCGCGTCTCGATCAGACATCCAGTGATTCGCAGATTTCGCCCTCGGATGAGCCGACGGAAAAGGCTGCCGGGGATATCCTAGAAGAGGAAGACCTCAACGGCCAGGATCAGGATCAGGATCACGACCAGGATCATGACTATTCCGTGTGCGATGGCCCACAGTCGCTGCCAGCCATCCTGTGCGTTCCCCACAAATTGGACGACAAATTCGAACAGTCCGGAGTCTTTATCACGGATGACGAGATCACCGTGGACATGGGACAGAACCAGACCAATGGTCCAGCGCCACAAAGTGCCGCTCCAGTGCTGAGCAAGATTCCACGCTCTCCGCTGGCGCAGCGACGCCGGAGCATCGATAACAGCACCTGTGGCGGAGCAGGCGGTAGCCTCCAGGACCTGAGCAGCCGCTCCAGCTTGCCAGCTCCAGCCTTTAGCCGGAAACAGCCAGTCTACAGGTCGGTGAGGACACGCAGCTCCACGAATGCCACGCCAGCACCAGCGCCTCTGCGATCCCGACAGAATACCCAGCTCCCGATGGTCCGGGACGTGACGAACACCTGGAGCGGACGTGGCCAGGGGGCGGCGGGAAACAAGCGCCGGCCTCCGGTTACAGCGGACAACTTTGTGGCCCCCAGTCCGTCGCCGTTTGAGAGGAATTCAAAGGCCAGATCCTCCCAGATCCTCTACGATTCCAATGGAAGGAGAGTGCGCAGTGGAGGGCCGGGATGCACTAGCTCACTGACCACATCCCCGGTGAAGAATCACGCCTCTTCGCCGCTGGCCCAGCAACTCCTGGAGGCGGCCAGCAGTGCCAAGAACGATGCCCAGATCCTGGAGAAGATGAAGACGCTCCTGTCACGCTATGCGGCCGGAAACCAAGCCAATGCTGGAGGATCCGGAACAGGATCTGGCTCTGGATCAGGATCGGGCTCTGGAAAGAATGGAAATGGCAAAAAGACACCCGTCTACGAGGACTTTACCAGCGCCTGGGTCCACAGCAATGGTAATCTGGAGCGTTCCGAGAGCTGCTCTCCTCCAGCAAAGGCCCGATCCAAGCGCTCCTCCGCCGCCAGCTCCTGTGACTCGAATGGAGGCGGCAACTCCGCCGCCACATCAAATCCGGGAGCCAGTGTGGTGTCGCCGAGAAGGGAGCGCGGCATGTCCAAGATTCCGGCGCCAGTGCGTCACAATACAGAGCTTTACTAGCAGCGCCGGAGGACGCCAAGCGTCCAGGTCCGTTTCCAAGCCAAGTCGAGGCTTTTCTGAAAAGCCTTCTCTCAACAATAACACTTTAAAGCCGGGAGTCGGGTCGTGGTTAGGAAAGAGTACTAGATAAGGATTAGGATTAGAGCCAAGCTGGAATTGTCTAAAGGAGGAGGAGGATTAGGAAGGAAGGACAAGTGTGTGTGTGTGAGAGAAAAGACCCCCCAAAGGCCATAGGTTAACCAAAAAAAAAAAGAAAGAGGAAACTGAAACTGCCTCAAAAAAGTCAGAAGGTCCTTAGCAGCCCTATTATCCTATTATCCCTGGCATATCCTTTGAGAACTTCAACAAAAATATAATCAATTTTCAATTAAAACCTATAATCTATATAATCTTTTTATAAAAAAAACTATAATCTTTTTACTTTCAACTTCCACTTTCTACAACAAAAAAAAAGTATGTAATACCCGGTACTTGTGGGTAAAGATTTTGTGGTTTTCCTTGGGATATATAAAAGCTGATCTAGGCTGATCTAGGGTTTAAATAGAAAAAACACAAAAAACAATCCAATTTTGAGACTCGAGTAACAAAAAAAAAACAATTTTAAATCAAAGGTTTTTTTTTTTTGGTCTAGAATCTAAAATCTAGCTATAGAACAGGAATTTTAAATCTATAAAATCGAATAAATATATATATCTCAAATACACACACACACACACACACACACATGATATAGAGGACACGCATAAATAGTTTTCTAGAAATTTTTAAAAAAAATCAAAAAGCCAAGACAAAAAAAAAAACAACACAGATTCTTCAGATTCAGATTCAGATTATAAAAGATTTATTTTTTTAAGCTATAGAATGGGTATTTGCAGAGATCGGTTTGGATCTGGAATGGTATATAGAGATACGAAAGAAAAGCTTTTAGAGAAACGCGACTTTTACAGTATACAGTATATAGGTATATATATTATATACATGGATATATATGGCTTCGGATTAGGGATTATATAGCAAGCATAGCTAGGAAATGAAGTGCTCCCACGACCACACTATACTATTCTCTTCAGCATCAGTGCGTTTTTTGGGCCTCAAAAAATAAAATCCCTATAAACCCCTATATAGTTCGAATTTAATTTAAAAAAAAAAAAAGCCTAAAACGCACTAGAAAAACACACAAAAAACAAGAACAATATTTAAAAAACAGTCACAAAAAAATAAATACATTACTGAACCTATAGCTTTGATCGTTATAATATCCAAAAACGAATAGCTTAATTTTCAGAAAACCCCCTTTTTTTTGAAACTCTATAACAACTATAATTGTATGAATTATAAATATATATACTTATTTTTTTTGTTTTTTTTTTTATATACTTTAGCTATATGAATGTTAACATCTAGTTTAGTACATCGTACCTATATATGATCATAACTATATATAGATTGTAAATTGTGTTTTTCCTTATTGCCCAATCATGTTGTATAGTTCGTATAATCGGCCTCAAAAAAAAAATATCTGAATTGTTCACTTGTACTTTTTTTTGTTTAATTATTATTTCATTCAACCAAAATAAATAAATATATATATAGTTATATATTGCAACCAAAATAATTAATTAAGTAACAATTCAATTGTTCCAATCAGACACACACACTTACACCTACACACAGAACCGTGGTGTAATTATAATTAAATACTATAAGCAATTCGGTGAAAAAAACAAAAAAATAGTGAAGAAGACCATCTCTCACAATCACTTTTGGGCAAACAAAAGAATATATAAATGGATATACATATATATATATATATCGAAGAACATATAAAAAAAGTGTATTTTAAATACAGATAAAATGTAATTATCAATTCATTTCGAAAGCAAACTAACTATTACAAATGGAATAGTGTACTTTAAGCTGGCGACGAGCTGCATAATTGATTTTAATCACAAGAATTTAATTAATAAAAGCCTATATACAACAAAAATTACATAAAAGTAGTTACGTATTTACTTAATGGTTTTATTTTCATATCATACATATAATATGCTTGGAATCGAAGCCTCTATAATCTAATTGTTTTAGACATCTCCCAGAGAGTCCATACCGCCCAGTTCCTTGCCAAACTTGGCCTTCTCCTGGCTCTCGGTCCAAGCCTTGGCAATCATTTGCTTCGTCTTCGAGTCCCCATCGTTGTACATCTTCTTCATGATGTTGACCAGCGCCGATTCGGGATTTTCAGTGTCCTTGGCCATGTCGGAGTCCTGCTTCTGTTTCAGCCTCTTTTGGATGGAGGTCAGCACGTCCCAGTTCTCGCCCTCGTTAGCCTTCTTCAGGTATATGGCCACCATATCGGTTTTGATTTTGCGGTAGCTCTTCTCCACATCGATGGCATGCAGCAAGTTGTTGACACTCAAGCCATAATCCTTGCCGCTGAGATCGCGTACGTGCAACTGCAATGAGTTCTCCGTATAGTTGACAGTAACATTCTCCTCCTGGCAGCCCTGGACGCCGTTCAATGTGATGAAGAGCTTTACGAACTTGGGGCTCTGATCCCAACCGTAATCCGTCAACTCTACCAGATATCTGTGAATTAAAATGGATTTAAAGCCATATTTGTAAGGTAAATGGAAAATAAAACGATGAGGCTTCGTCCATAATGGAAAATTCTGGAATTTACGCAAAAAGGACCGCCAGGAACAATAAACTTCTAGTGTCTGCTACATCCAGGCATCGGAAAGTTCTAGAATCCTTGCTCACCTCTTGGCATCACCGGTGCCCGCCGATGCACGTTCTGCCGCCAATCGGGCCTTAATTTCCAGGTTGACAATCTCGCGTTCCGCCTCAGCTTTTCCGGCAGTGAGCACGCCTTTTACGCGGGCGCTTTTCGCCTCCGCCAATAAAGCGGCAAATTCCGCAACATCACTTTTCAGCTACCCCAAACAGAGAATTCTCAGTTAAGCAGCAATTTTCATTGTGAATATATTCTACTTACCTGTTCCAGGGCCATATTTTGACAGTAATCAGTAAATAAACGTGGTAAATAAATGTCGAAGTATATATTATATCGGAATATCGATATTTTCTTTTTGGTCACACTAAACCACTAGCGGTGGGATACCTTCGATAAGCCATCACAAAATTTTACAACACTGGTATCGGCACCAATAATCGATACTTATTATCGCTTAAAAGTTCAACCTTTAGTTCACCACTAATTTAACGGCGCTTTTCCCGCCCATTGAAATGTTAATTGTAATTTGTAATTTTTCGGTATAATTTTCTTGATATCTGTGTAATTCCTGGCTGCGGAATGAGTTTGCAGGACGAAAGTTTTCCGGCAGACGATCTATTCGACCAGCTGAATAGCTTGGGAGCCAGCAGTTCCCGGGACTTCAAGCGCCAATTTGCGGAGCACCATCAACCGGAGGCTTTTGAACGCAATCCGACGCCATTTTTGGGCAGCGACTGCTCCGCGGAGAATTCCTATACGGATGCGGCCAACAAGAGTGCCAAGACCTGTGTCAGTGACCCCACAGGCCGTGACCCAGATGAGGAGGAGGATGCTGATGAAGATGGCCAAGATGGTGGGTGATGTTCTCCTTGATGTGGTAACTTGTATTTTCAGAATTATAGGGAACTAATCTACCTTTCTTTTAAGGTATTCTGCGTAAGGATTCAACAAAAAAATAGCCAAATATATCATTATGAATGTGACCTATATTTCAAAACGCATTTTTGTATTAAACATTTTACGTTTTTTTTGAATCAGAAGTTTTGTTAATACGTTTTTGATGCAGATAGTTAGAGAATCGATCCACAAATCGTTTAAGGTATTCCTCTCTAGAATCGGATGAGAATTGGCCGAGATATAGCCATGGATGTGGGCCCTATATGGGCATCCCGCATTTTTCAAGGGCTCTCCCCACAAAAATTGGAAAAAAATCCAAAAAATATTTTGTTGCTGGATTTTGATGCAGATAGCTAGAGAATCGATCCACAAATCGTTTAAGGTATTCCTCTCTAGGATCGGATGAGAATTGGCAAAGATATAGCCATGGACGTGGGCCACTTACGAAAATCCCCATTTTCCAAGGGCTCTCCCCCCCAAAATTGGGAAAAAATCCAAAAAATATTTTGTTGCCGGATTTTGATGCAGATAGTTAGAGAATCGATTCACAAATCGTTTAAGGTATTTCTTTCTAGAATCCGATGAGAATTGGCCGAGATATAGCTATGGATGTGGGCCCTTTACGAAAATGTCCATTTTCCAAGGGCTCTCCCCACAAAAATAGGAAAAAAATCCAAAAAATATTTTGTTGCTGGATTTTGATGCAGATAGCTAGAGAATCGATCCACAAATCATTTGAGGTATTCCTTTCTAGAATCGGATGAGAATTGTCGGAGATATAGCCATGGACGTGGGCCACTTAAGAAATTCCCCATTTTCCAAGGGCTCTCCCCACAAAAATAGGAAAAAATCCAAAAAATATTTTGTTGCTGGATTTTGATGCAGATAGCTAGAGAATCGATCCACAAATCGTTTAAGGTATTCCTTTCTAGAATCGGATGAGAATTGGCGGAGATATAGCTATGGTTGTGGGCCCTATATGGACATCCCGCATTTTCCAAGGGCTCTCCCCACAAAAATAGGAAAAAAATCCAAAAAATATTTTGTTGCTGGATTTTGATGCAGATAGCTAGAGAATCGATCCACAAATCGTTTAAGGTATTCCTTTCTAGAATCGGATGAGAATTGGCCGAGATATAGCCATGGATGTGGGCCATTTACGAAAATCCCCATTTTCCAAGGGCTCTCCCCACAAAAATAGGAAAAAAATCTACAAAATATTTTGTTGCCGGATTTTGATGCAGATAGCTAGAGAATCGATCCACAAATCGTTTAAGGTATTCCTTTCTAGAATCGGATAAGAATTGGCCGAGATATAGCCATGGACGTGGGCCACTCACGAAAATCCCCATTTTCCAAGGGCTCTCCCCACAAAAATAGGAAAAAAATCCAAAAAATATTTTGTTGCTGGATTTTGATGCAGATAGCTAGAGAATCGATCCACAAATCGTTTGAGGTACTCCTTTCTAGAATCCGATAAGAATTGGCCGAGATATAGCCATGGACGTGGGCCACTTACGAAAATCCCCATTTTCCAAGGGCTCTCCCCACAAAAATAGGAAAAAAATCCAAAAAATATTTTGTTGCTGGATTTTGATGCAGATAGCTAGAGAATCGATCCACAAATCGTTTAAGGTATTCCTTTCTAGAATCGGATGAGAATTGGCCGAGATATAGCCATGGATGTGGGCCCTATATGGGAATCCCAGACTTTAGAAGAATTCTTCTTGAAAATGTGCCCTTCTAATACAGACATTTTATATCTACAGGGTTCGCTGATCAATTGGAACGCTCTGGCTCAAAATCCAAGGGCAACGGGCGCAGCAACAAGTCAGTCTCCTACCAGGACATCCACTCCGCCTACACCAAGCGACGCTACCAGCATGTGACCAGCAAGGTGGGCAAGTACATCGCCGATATACAGGCCCAGGATCAGGCGCGTCGCAATTCGGGAGCGAGTATGCTTCGGCACAGCTCTATGCCCGAGTACCTGACGCCGAGGTCGCGACAACGCCACGGCGGTGGCCACTACAGCGTGGACGAGCTGCACAAGAAGGACGAGTCGCTGGCCGACAGCAGTGAGGGCGGCAACGCCTCCAATAACCAGAGCTACGACCGCCTGCAGAGCGAGCTGGAGGCACTGCAGCAGGAGCGTGATCGCCAGACCTCCTACAACAACTATCTGCAGGACAAGCTGGACAAAAAGGTGATGGAATCGATGCAGTTGAAGATGAACTTTGAGGTTCTGCGAACCGAGCTGACCGACTGCAAGCAGAAGCTGACACGCTACCAGGCGCATTCGTTGCGGTCTCTCAACTGGCCCCCAGTGGGCATTCCCAAGGCAACGCAAACAGATCGCCAGCTGACTCAAGTGACCGCCATCGCCTCCTCGTCGTCCAGCTCGAATCCGGTCCAGAACCTCATGGAGAACTACCTAACACCGCATCCAACTGGCAATGCCAACCTTACATATAACAGCAGCGATGGATCCATTGAGATAGCCCTGCTGAGCGTCGCTCCAACAGCTCGTCAGGCTAATCCTGACCTGCTGAAGGTTCAGCCCATGTCGTTGGATTTCAGCAACGAAAGCGCCGATAGTGGAGAAGCTAACAACGCAAATGGTAGGTGTTCCATGGAAAGGTTTCCATTGCTGATTAGAGGGAACCTTAAGTTTCCATCATCTCAAGTTCTGGAGCCCAGAATATGAGTCTCGACGTTGGTTGCTTAGGTTTCTTGTTTACATCGCAGAAAGATTCGTGCATAAATCGTTCCTTTGTTCTGATTTCTAGGAGAAGCCCGTGGCAACAGCAACAGCTCCTCTTCCAGACCCCGCACCCGACATGGACATGGCCCTGGTCCCAATAACTCGGAAAGCAGCCACCCGAGTAGCAATGATTCAGCCATCGAAGTGGAGGGCCACGAATCACGTTCCCCGTTCCAGCCCCAGGGGGAGCGGGAGTGGCGACACCGACGCCAGGAGGAGGCCGTCTACTACTTTGACAAGCGCAACAATCGAGTCATCGAGGTGATGGCCATTAATTTAGGACAGGGCCACCACAATCAGAGCCATAATCTGAGCCAGATTTCCGTCTCAGACAGCAGAGCCCAGTTGCTGAACAACTCCCAGTTTCTGTCCCAATCCCAGATCCCGATCCGGACGAAGCGTCGAACGCTCGGTAGCCGGGTGATGCGGATTTTTGGACCATGCGTTCGGTGCAAGTACACCGAGGATGGCAATCCGGGAGTCAATGGCACATACACGGTGGGATTACCTTTGCTGGACGAGGAATTCATTGATATAAGAAATCAACGTTAAACCCAAACATGATTCATCATTTATTTGTTTATTTATTGTCATATTTGCTTATTTTTTTTACGTTTTTTTTTAGTCCCTCTACTTGTTTGAGTTTATATTTTGGCCATTTTTTTCATTTGCCATTTTTTGTCGCCTATTTTGGTCCCTATTTTTTATTTATTTATTTATTATTTGTAAACTTAACCAATATTTATGTATTCCATGTATTCATTGAAATCAAGAAAATAAAATTTTCATTCATATTTTTTAACATTTTTATTTATATTTTTTAGTAAAAAATGATTTAAAAATGAAATTTGAATTTTGAGAAATCTATCGATAACAAAGTAGGCATATAACTAGCTTTCTTTCCACCATCCCTAACAAAACGACATAACGGTGCTTTTCCCGCTCAGAGCAGTGTGGATTGTAAATTCTATATTTTTGGCTTTGTTTTGATTCCCAAGATATAAGATGAATTCGCAGAAGGAAGACGTTCCATCAGAACATCTAGTGGAAGGTTTGGACGACTTGCTGGCCAAGAAGTCGACCAGCGATCAGCTTGGGGACCAAACTCAAAAGTCACCCACGCCATTTTTGAACGGCGACTGCGCGTCGTATACATCGCTTCCCGACGCCGCAAGCGATACATCATCGGGAGTCCTGGCTATCAATGAGATGGATGCCTCAGATGCAAAGACACCTAAGGTCAATGGAAACCGCAGCAAGGCTGCCTCTTTCCAGGATATCCATTCGGCGTACATCAAACGCCGCTACCAGCACGTGACCAGCAAGGTTGGAAAGTATATAGCCGACATGCATGCCGAGGATGAGGCTCGTCGGGCAAGCTTGTCCTCGTCGACCTTTGAACGGCATTGCTCTTTGCCGAATTCCTTGAACCCAACGTCACTTAGCCCCACCGATATGTTCAAGAAGGATGGTTCGCTGACAGACTGCAGTGAGAAAGGTGATGCCTTCAACAAAGTGCCCTACCATCGCCTGGTTGAGGAGATAAAGGAATTGAAAAAGGAGCAGGAACGTCAGATCTCGTACAACAACTATATACAATCAAAGCTGGATAAGAAGGTGATCGAATCGATGCAGATGAGGGTGAACTTTGAGAATCTGCGAACCCAACTGAATGATTGCAAGACGCAGCTGAGCAGCTACCAGACAGGTTCGCTGCGATCCCTCAACTGGCCGCCAGCCGCCAAAACAAAGGGCACCCAAACTGACCTCCAAAGAGATGTCATTTTTTCAGCTTGCGCTGACTCTACAATGGGGGACATTATGATTGAAAATTCATCTTATAACAATAGCGATTTGTCCAATATGATTGCTAGAAATAACCCTCATGCTGTAACATGTGAGGATTTGACTTACGAGAGCTTCAGGGGCGCCGCTAAAGGTGGGTTTATATTCTATCCCTCGAAAGGTGATCAGCCTCAAGTTCATTTGTAAACCATATTGCGATTCCCATGAAGAAATTCAACTCATACTCTGTTTACTGACTCCTCTTTCTAGGCGGCGAGGTTAGCAGCAGCTCCCGTTCGGGCCTGGCACTCAACTCTTTGGATGTTCACATTTCAAGCGATGATGATTCCATCGTTGAGGTGGATGCCTCAATGATGCCTCCAGATTGGCGCCATCAACGTCATGCCAATGCTCTTTACTATTTCGACAAGAGCCAGAATCGTATCATTGAAATGGTGTCCGTAGACCTCAACCAGTTGAAGGGCGACAACCAGGGTCAGGGAGAGGCTCCAGCTAATTACTCCGTTTCGATCCAGAACAAGCAGCGATCACTGGGCAGTCGCATGATCCATCTGTTGGTACCGTGTCTGCGTTGCAGTGAGGCCGATGAATCCATCTCGATTGAAATAAAATCATGTTCCATTGGCCAACCGACCCAGGAGGATGAAGACTCCGTCGCTACCAACACCGTCGATCGTCGTTAATATCCATATATATATATTTATATTCGTTTAAATTATGTATCCGGTTAATTTTATGTTCTCCTTTCGTTTATCCGATCAATGCTCGCATATAAAGTATTTTGGAATACTATAAAAGTTTATTTATATAAGTATCGGAGTGAGGCTAACTGGATTATGCCGAGCTTTTATTTTGTTTATTTTTTTGTTTATTTTTATGTTTAACAGTATCTTATATGTATTTATGTACATTCCTTTCAAGACATTTCAAGAATAAAGTTTATAAAATTAAAATCCAGTTGGTTATTTAACTTTTTATCCTTCAAATGGATCCTTTTTATAAGGACCTGTCCAGAAAGGGAAGGACTTTCAAGGATTGGATATTCTTATCCTACGGTTTTTATATATATTTGTCTAAAAATCACTATATATGCCATTATATAAGCTTCGCTTTCGCTATTTTTGGTTTAAACTACAATTTGGAATTGAATTTCAATCGTTTTTATAAAATAATTGAAATCTTAATGCTAGAAATATAAATAATTAAAAAAAGAAATAATTAAAATAACACCGCCCTCCTCCTCGATTCTCATAAGTTGCACTTAAGAAGCCTGATAATTAAATTACTACAAATTTTAATACAAATTTTTACAAAAAAAAATAATAATTAAAAAAATATTTAAAAAAAATAAATAAAAGACCGCCCTCCTCCTCGCTTCTCATAGGTTGCACTTAAGATGCCTAATAATTAAATTAATTTTAATAAAAAAAATTTACAAAAAATATAAAAAATATTTTAAAAAAATAAATAAAAGACCGCCCTCCTCCTCGCTTCTCATAGGGTGCACTTAAGAAACCCATAAATTAAATATTTTATTTGAATTTTTTTTTTATTATTGAATGGAATATAAACTGGCAAGCAGCTAATAGCAACCACCATACTTAAGCAATGATTTTTAAAATTCCGCGCCATAGTGATGAGAGTTTCCGCGATCGTAACAGTCGGCTTGTGGTGCGCGTCGGTTTACGAGCTATCGGTATTAGCCCACCACCAGCGTACTGGTCCGGCCGGAGGAAAAGCGACACAAAACAGAGCAACCGCCAGAGCCAGCGATACGCCAGTCGCTCAATTAGATAATAGCCGTTGACCAGGTTGCGCCGGGAATCCGCTGGAGCTCCGCCACATCCAGGACCCAAGCTGGCGGCGCAGGAATCGGAATCGGAATCGGATAAGAGACGGAGCAGTAAGTACCCTTGATGGATTCTTGGGCACTTTCATCCCAATTTTACTCATTCTGGTCGTTTCCTACACCCAACCTGGCAGGCACTACACTTACACTCATTAATTTGGAATAATCTCGTACCTACTGGAGCTAAATTTTCCGTATCTTTTTAACAAAATTATCCGTGCGTGTTCATAGAGACGGACGTGGTGAAAACATTCAATTATAATCTTCAATAAAGGAGTCAATTCTTCATCAGTCGATGCGTGGCCCCAAAGGAATACTTGGACCGGATATCGTGCTAGAAACTAGGAGCAGAGAGAGCTGCCAGAGGCGATGGCCGAGCCTTATCAGCTACGAACCCAGATGGCAACACAGTATCGTCGTCCACGACCAGGACACACCACCTCCCAGTTTCCCCACCAAGGCGTAGTCTATACAAACGGAGGCACTGCTTCCTGGAACGAGGCACGCCAATTTCAGCAACAACAACAACAACAACAGCAATTGCAATATCAACAACAACAACAGCAACAACTTCATCAGGAGCAACAACATCGGTACTCGTACCTGCAGCAACAGCAGCAGCTGCAACAATCACAACAGCTGCACGAGCAGTATCAAAACCAACAACACCAGGAGGCACAGCAGCATTATAATAACAATAATCAGATCCCAGGACCGGGACTAAAGTATTTGTATAAGGAACCAGTGATTGCTGGGCAGCCATCGGTTGCTGGACCGCCGTTTGGCATGCCATTAGGAGGAGCACCAATCATACCGATTGGTTCACCCATGGCTGTGATGCCCACCACACCACGAGCGCAGAAACCACGCAGCAAGAGCGAGGGTAAGTCAATAAATATACCTCCATAGCTTTAAAGGATTCTATTTATTGATTTGTGTGTGTGTTTATTTCCAATAGAAGCCATCTCAGATCTTTTACTGCGCATTCCGGACATTGGTATATTGTTTGATGTTCATAGTCGGATTGGAAATGGAACATTTAGTACCGTTTTGTTGGCCACTCTGCGCCGTGAATCGCATTTGCCGGATAATGTAAGACGCAAATTTGCCATCAAACACCACATCCCCACCAGCCATCCGGATAGGATTATGAAGGAGCTGCAGTGTATGACAAAAATGGGGTAGGTCCTACCAATCCAGTTACACACATACATATGTATGTATGAAAAAAATTCCTTTTTTTTTTATTTCTCATGTGTGAGTGTGTGTGTGTGTGTGTGTGTGCGTGGTTGGCTTTTTTCGTCCTCGCCTGCGTCAAACGCCGTTAACCGACGTCAGCCGGTAGCTGCTCCAATCTACGTCATTGCAATTTATTTCAGTTTGCCGGCAACGAATCAGCGAATAAACGAGACGGCACGAACTGAGACGAGACCAGAGACGAGACGAAATAACAACAAAAACAACAGAAAAAAAAAAATCGAAACTGACGAACGTTTATTGCACTTTCACACGCCATTCACGTGCCCATTTACAGTTACAATGCCGTCGCAGCCGTCCCACTCTGGCCCTTGACAGCTGTAATGCTTTGTTTACAGAACTTGCACGCACACACACGTACCGTTTTGAAAGAAAAAAAAAAGAAAGAGAGGAAAGGTGTATGAATATCCTGCAATCACAGTGGGATGCACTGGAAAAAAATCTAGATAGAATTTAGGAATAATTTTTAAATTTTTTTTGATAAAAATACTTCGACTCTGAGCCTGTCCAGCTACAAATATTCTTTGTGACTTCATCCCTTAACTATTTTTGGCCAGTGTATTGTTTGGCATTGTCTGCCACCGATTGCCAGCTGATAAGATTAGGCGCGTAGGGAGCAGCTGGACTGCCGGACTGCGAAAAACCATTCAATACCGCCTCAAACCGCCCCAAGCTAGGGTATCGCCAAAATGGTCAGCTCAGCTGGCTGGATAAGATCCCAGGTAAGAGAGTGAGCAACGGAGGAGGACATCGGATGAGTGGGCAGTAAACGATGTGTGGGCGCTGCGTGTTTGACATTAGCCGGCTGCCCCCAACCACCTCTTACCTCTAACCTCACCCCGACAGTGCCGCCCTCTTCAGTGCCTATTCAAGCAATTTGCGCAAATTCCGTAGCCCCCAGTTGCGTCACAGCCGCACGATAATTATGACTGGGCCAGGCCGAGTGGCTCCCTCACGTATGCCCATCGTACATATATACGCCCCCTACGTGTCTCTGTGTGTGACGTCCGATTGTCTCCCTCCCACCTACAGGCCCCCAGGCGGACAGTGTGTGTGGGCTTATCTCTTCTGTTTACATTTAGGACAAAAACAAAACAAAAACTATACAATACTAATCCAAAATTGATCAAATTTCAAACAATCATAAAAAGGATTTACTAATTTATATATTCTGTGAATGTTTTCTCTTATTTTTAAATGGATTCTCTGCAAAAATAGTCCGATTAGTCAGATTTTGGAACAGTTTTGGGAAGTGGGGGAAACGACCTAGCAAATACCCTCTAATGTTAATAATTAAGCAATTATCCTCTTAAAACAATTAATTAAAATATCGCCATCTCTTTCTGTTTCATTTTTAGGGGCACAAACAACGTGGTCGGCATCCACTGCTGCCTGCGATGTGACGCCTCCGCCGCATTCGTGATGCCCTACATGGCCCACGACCGCTTCCATGACTTCTTCACGCGCATGGACGTGTCCGAGATCCGCTTGTATATGCGTAATCTGCTAATAGCCCTCCGCCACGTCCACAAGTTCGACATCATTCATCGCGACGTGAAGCCGAGCAACTTTTTGTACAACCGCCGCCGGCGTGAGTTTCTCCTCGTGGATTTCGGCCTGGCTCAGCATGTGACTCCCGCGATGGGATCGAGTGCAGGGGGAATCGGAGCAGTGGGAAAGCGTGCCCGCGAAGGGGACCATGAAGACCAAGTGGCGCCCATGCTAGGAGGAGGAGCTGCCGGGGCAGGGAATGCTATGGAAGTCCCACCGGCTGACGCGGAACTGGGTGGAGCTGTGAAACGCATGCGACTAGAGGATGGCGTCAAGATGCCACTGAAGCCCATCAATGAAATTGCTCAGGGCGAGGCACCGCCTGCGGACTTCGGTAATCCCAATCCCGGCCTGCAGCCCACCGGCCAGCAACTGCAACAGCAGCCGGAGCAGAACTATAACGCCGCCGGAGGAACCCCCTCGGGAAGCAAATACAACACCAATCGCAATGCAGCTGGATCGGGTACGAAGTGCTTCTGCTTTGCCAATCCGTCGGTGTGCCTGAACTGTCTGATGAAGAAGGAGGTGCATGCCTCCAGGGCCGGGACTCCGGGCTACCGCCCACCCGAGGTGCTGCTCAAGTATCCGGACCAGACCACCGCCGTGGATGTGTGGGCGGCGGGCGTCATCTTTCTCTCCATCATGTCCTCGGTGTATCCGTTCTTCAAGGCACCCAACGATTTCGTGGCTCTGGCCGAGATCGTCACCATATTCGGGGATCAGGCCATCCGCAAGACCGCCTTGGCGCTGGAGCGCATGGTGACCCTTAGCCAGCGTTCCCGTCCGCTCAGTCTGCGCAAGCTGTGTCTGCGCTTCCGCCACCGCCGCGTCTTCAGCGACGACAAGCTGCATCGCAGCCATGCCAACCAGGATGGCCAGTGCGAGGTGTGCCGCAACTGCGACCAGTACTATTTCAACTGCCTGTGCGAGGATACCGAGTACAACGATGAGCCCCTGGATGCCTACGAGTGCTTCCCGGCCACTGCCTACGATCTGTTGCACCGCCTGCTCGAGGTTAATCCCCACAAGCGCATTACCGCCGCCGAGGCACTGCAGCATCCATTCTTCACGGCCGCCGAGGGCCAGGATCAGGCGGTAACAGCGCCAATACCCTGTGACGAAGATCACCTAGTGTCGGGGAAACAATCGCAGGCAGAGTCACGGAAGCTACGTCGCCAGCGCTATCCCAAAGTGGCTGGTGCGACGGGCAACGAGCAGCTGAAGCAACCACTGGAGGTCGACATGCATGCGACGGCTTATGAAAAACTGTGAAACTAGTCCCCATTTGTACATACCACACACCTCACTCACCTCCCCCCCCACACATATCGCCCAAGAACCATGATTGTACATATATATAGATATATAACCTCCTCTCATCCACAACGCACATCTTGTCCAGTGTAAAGTGTTCACCATACCTCAGTACCTCTGCGGGGAATCCGCCAGGGAGTAAACCAAATAGAAACACCACACAAAAACCAACAAAAAAAAGGATAGTTTTAGCAACAAATACACACATTTTAAATCAAGATCATGAACAATAGAAGACAGTGGAGCATCTCGGAGTATACATGGAAATTAATAGCAACAACCAGTGGCAGGAGATCCACCTGCACAACCACCACCACTACCAAGTTGTACAGTTCGAATAGTGTTAGTGTAATTTAAGTTTAAAAATTGTATTTTATATCAAGAAACAAAAAAAAAAAGAAGAAACCCATGTGAACGGAGATATATACAGAAGCGAAATATATTTATACGAATTGTGAATTGTAAACTAAACTAAAGCTAGGTCTCCATCTTTTCGGCCTTTTTCCGGCGAGGTGTCGCCTTCGATGTGGACGGCTCTTCGGACACATCCTCAGCTACCTCCTCCACCTTGATACGTTTTCCGGCGACGACCTCCTCCTTGGTTGGCTGCGTTTCCATGACACGCTTCTTGGCCTTCTGGAAGCTGCCTTTGCCGGCGGCACGCTCCGACTCCTCGATGCTGTAGGGCTCAGTCTCCAATGCCTTTAGCCGGCGCTTGTGCACCTTGGTGCGGAAATGGGCCTGCATGGCCGTATCGTCTATGAAGTACTTGGCACAGTGTACGCAATAGAACTGCGCGAATCCGGGCTTGTCCAGATCCACATTCTGGTTGATCAGCTCACCGCTCCTAGTGCGTAGATCGTCGTCGATCTGGTCGAGATCACGACGACGGTTACGCACACGCCAGCGCCTCTGCAAATGGGTGTCCCCATAGTGCATCTTCTTACGCTTCTGTACCATTCCCATGTTGCTGCTGTTTTTTGGAAATCACCTGCTCGTTAAGAAAATAAATATGTAAACGTGTGCCTGCACGTGTTTTTGTTTTGGCAAGCGTTATGTTGTTGATTCAGCTTCTTCGTCAGCGGCTTGGATGGTTTTTCAGAATCTGAAAGCAGTAACTATTAACTAGAGTCATTAATTGATGGTGAGCATGCTTGATAATTACCGCATCTGGATAATAAACAGTGTTTTCTTTTTAAACTGCGCACAAAAACAGTGGCCTGCTTCTAGTGATGGTAGCTGCACCTAGTGATGGTAGCTACTAGCTAGTCTCTAGTTATCGATAGCCATATGATTATTTTATGACTCGCCCGCAGCACTCTTTTATATATTTGTTTGAAAATAATAAAAATAAATAAGTTAAAGTTAATTTAATATGTTAAATCATATTTTAGAAACAAAACAATATATACTTTATTAGAAAACAAAGCCAAAACATTAATCGGTATTATTAGTGGTATTTTCCTTTTTTGAAGTGTGTGCACACTGGTCCAACAGATGTTTAGCTTTCGATTAACTAGTAATTATATGAAACTAATTGAATTTTCAAGCCAATTACATGTTATTAAGATACAAATAAATTGGTTTCTGCAATTCTAATGGCTAATTACAACAGACAATTCGCAATGGAGAACCAAACATTGTCAACAAACGCTTCGTCGTTTTTTAGTGCATTTTTGTGTTTTAAAAAGTAAAAAAAAAAAACATATGTTCGTAACAAATTCATCAACAATCGTGCGAACAAGTTGTCTGCAGGCGGACGTAGTGCGCATTTTATTTATTCCGCCTAGATCCACTCGCAGGAAGTAAGAATCAAAATAGTTAAATAAAAAACAAGTTCGATCAAGTGCGAATGAACGGTTTAGTTCCGGCCAGAGAACTCCTCCTTGATGTGTGTGTGCAGAGGCGCACCCACACACATGTGCGATTGGATAACACACTGACCTGGAGGGGGGGGGAATAGCTCTCGGCTTTATTCTATGGGCTGTATATTATCGGGCAAACCGTGGTGATGCTGGTTAAATCCCCAGTACCCGGCTCTCAGCCCCCTTATCCGGATAGAGCACCAAGCATATGTTAAGACAATAAAGCGTGTTGATGTTTGTGTTTGTGCATTTGTGCAGGCGATGTAGTGCAAAATAAAGCAACAAAAACAACAACAATAAAAAAAAAAACCCAAAGCTACAAAGAGCAACAAAGTAATAAACACTGATTGCGAAAAATAAAGGGGTGGGGAGGAGGAGAAGGTGGAGGTGGTGGTGGAGGGGGAGTCAGTGACCACCACAGCTTCTGTTACTGCTTTATTGGCATTTATTGTTGATTCTTTTTTAGCTTCACATTCCGTTGAAACGTTACACTCTCTTTTTCGTTCACCTTTCGCCGGTAACAACAACAACAACAATAACAACAACCCCAACCAGTTACAACAAATAGGGGAGCCCGCCAATTGTGGTAAGTTAAAAAAATGAAAACAAATATTAAATACAAAGAACTAAATAAAAAGAAAACAAACTAAAAAGCTGTGTAAAGCTTAGCAAGTCTTCTTATCAATAATCAAGCGCCTACATGCCTCGATCGCTTATCAACATTGGCATGGCAATTATACCGTTACACGCACAATTAACCGTTTTTTTTTTTTTTGTATGTGTGTGTGTGTGTGTTTGTGGTATTGTGTTCTTTGATTGATTTCAATTTTTAGATTTTCAATCGGGATCGGGAAAAAAAAAACCAACTCTTTCAATGATATAACAGCTCCCCAATACCACCTCCCTTTTGCACTCCGTTGCGGGGCGTACGCACGCACTAAACAAAAATAATCACCGCCTCCCAGAGCCAGCCTGGTGCTCTCTCTCTCTCTCTCTGTTGCTTGATTTATCTTGCATGTATAGGAATGCTTTATTTTTTAGTCCATATGCCAGTCACGATTTGACATTTTGCAAAGCGATTGCAGCAGCCACAATAAGAGATGAAACGGAATGCGTGTAATGCCAGTGGCTTAGACCCAACTTCAAAAAAGGGGATCGATTTATTATCAATTAAATTATATCCTTACATAACATACATACATATCTTTTTGTTTATGTAATATATTTTTTTATGTATTTTATTTTTTTATTAATAAAAAACCCCCTTTTAAATACACGCCACTGTTTAATCGAATGGAAAGAGAGAAAACTGGAAGGGGGAGGGAGATAAATGCATACTTACAGCATTCGATCAGCTGACGCAAGCTCTGATAATTCCATTCCCATGCAAATACAGTTAAATGAGATAGAGCGAGAGGAAGAGCGAGCAACAAACTAGAGTTGCTAATAGGTTCCAAATCTGAAAGCGAGAGTGGCTTGAGAGAGTGGGGAACCTGTTTTGTTTTTGTCCTATTGCAGCATACATAACATTGGCAACACTGCAACTATCAATTATGAACATGTTCTCTCTAATTAGCTATTTTGAAAGTATGTATCTCTCTTTTTGGTATCTCTCTGACAATCTTGTGGTAATGTTTTAAGCCAAAGATACAAAAATTCAGAGCCAAATTCAATCAGTTAACCAGTCTTACCAGTTCCGTTCATAACGATTCGTACCAAAAAGCTCTCAAGCTAACCCAACTGACCTATTCCTTAAAGAGGTATTTCTGTATTTAATGTATTTTTCTATAAAAACTATATATTTTTCTTTATTTATCTTAAAAGTCCACCTGACTACTTATTCCAGGCGGTTTTTAGATTTCTTCGGAATCTACAGAATCGGAAGAATTTCAACAGAAACTGGTTTTATAATTGGAATTCTAGACACGATTGTTTCTAATTCTCGTTTGCGGTTCTCTCGCAAGATTAATTACAAAACCAGTAACGTGTTTAATCTATTACCTGGAATCTATTTACTCTATATACAAATAGGAACTATAGATTTTTAAATTTTTAGGTTATATTCTTATCCTTGACCTTTTTTTTATTACCGTTACCGCATATCCTGCTTTATTGCTTTATCAAGCATGCTTTTTTGCAAGCCACAAGTATGCATTCATTTAAAAAAAAAAAAAAATTCGCTTAAATCAAGGGGTTTATAATAGTTATACACTATCTCAGGGTATAGATAAATCTTTAGAAAAAAAAAAATTAAAACCTCCAACCCGTATCGAACTCTATCACTAAACTGGCACTAGAATTTAAGAAAATATTAATTATTATATATTTGTTTTATCAGTATATAACCTTAAAAGAGTATACAGTCTTCGTTATATCGTTTGCTATTTATCTTGTCCATTCCCCGATTATATATGTATATATATATCATTTTCGAATGTGGTATAGCCCGGGACTAATCGCATTGATATGGAAACCCAAAAATTGCGGTGAACCCCAACAGTGAACGAAAACAAAAGTTCTCAAAAAAAAAAAAAACCATAATCCGTACCCCCTGTGTCTGTTTTATTCAGTTTTTATAATTCGTAGTGTTCCCATTGGATAAGTGGAACACCAGTTGGAGTTGCAAGTGCCCCTCACACCCCATACCCCATACCCCCACCGCAGGTACTCCAAGGTCGGATGTGAAAGTGGGCGGTGGCGGAATAATCGTTTCCTTCCCCAGCTCTGGATGTGGAGTTATGTCTGGAATTTTTATATTAATTTCGCATTTATTTTTTCTATAGATGTGAAAGGTGGTGGATTGTTGAGAGATTGACTTTCTAATTGAATAGGGTTTTATGGGTTGGGGTCTCACTGAATGACCTCCAAGATTATAGGGTTTTTTTTTTAATTCCATTTTTTTTTTTACCATTTTTATGACCATAGCTGTACTTTATAGCCCCAAAGATTTAATGCTACTTTCACTTTGCTTTTATTTCACAGCAAAATTAACGCAAATCCATTGAAAAGTACAACCAGTTGGAATCACTTCTCCATCTCTCAGCCACTCAGACATGGACCACGCTCATCACAATACCGGAGGAGTTGGTGAGTTTCTCTTCCCCCTCAAGATTGGAATTATATTTTAAAATATATATTTTTTTTTTAGATCACTCTATGATGCATCATGATCATCCGGGCATGCATCATGATCATTTAAGTGCCGCCGTTGCCACAGCCACCACAGAGGATCCAGCTGCCATGTTGGCGCCTCTATTCACCGGCTCCGCGTCGGATGTCCTGCCGGTGGCGGATGTTCATGCCGGACACCATGCCGGACATCATGGTGGCTCCGGTACGGGCATGGAACACATGATGCCCATGGCGGTAAGTCTTACTTACTATTTTTTATAGTTTAATTATTAATTTTAACATATTTTTTTAGTTCCATTTCGGTTATAATGAGACGATCTTGTTCTCGTGGTGGCACATTGAAACGGTGGCCGGTCTGGTGGGCTCCATGATAGCCATTTTTGTGCTGGCGTTGTTGTACGAGGGCCTGAAATACTACCGGGAGTACCTGTTCTGGAAGACGTACAACCTGCTGGAGTACCGACCGGTGACGGGGCCGCAACGCAATCCAGAGGCGCCACGTCTTCCCTCCCCGGCAGCAGCCGCACCATCGCCTGTGCAGTGAGTATTAAGGTTTATAATAGTTTATTTTATTTTATTTTTTTTAAATATTTATTTATATATTTTGCATGCTTTTTTTTGCTTTGCCAATCATTTAATTGTACTTTTGTTGTAAATATTAATCTTAATGCTTTCTCTTCTTTCTCGTTTTTGTTTTCGTTTCATCATCATCTATATATATAAATCATCTGTACAATATGCGCTGCTCTTCATTTGTAAATTGATTCCATTGATAATTATTTTATAAAAAAAAATACAAAACATATTTTTCCAAAAAAAAAAAAAAAAAAAAAAAACGCTCTGCCTCGCATCGCATCGCTTCGTTGATTTTTTTGTAATTGATTTTGTGATTCACGCGACGACCGTAATTGAATACCAACCTACCTATATATATATATACCTACCTAAATATATATAATCTGATTCTGTATCTGCATCCCGCATCTGTTGTATCGATCCGTGAATCCGCATCCGCATCCGGCACGCTTCGATCGATCCTTTAGATACGTGGGCGAAGTTGTTCACAAGCAACCGTAAGTATCGCTCTAAAATCCTCCCCCCCACCTATCCCACATTTCCCTCCTCCCCCCTCCCCCCTACTTACTTACTAGTAGTTATTCCCAGTATTATATATATAATTGTATAATTTGTTGGCTCACTTAAGTTTAACGTTAAATGTACCACAAATGGATATCGAATGTCCGTTCTCCAACCGGTAGGGGTGTTTCATGGGAAATATCCAACAGCTGTATCCATTATAGATCCAATTTCAAATCCCGCACTTCCCAGATCCACTTAATTTGTACAAATGTCCGCTTTTTTTAAATAAATATAAACTATTATTGGTTACACAGTTGAGACGTCGAGTTGCACACAATTTAACCCTATTTTAGTGGTAGAATAGACTAATATTTGGCACACTACTGTAGTATTTTGAATCTTTGGAGTTATCGATAATTTATCGAATTTTTTTGAAGTCTTTTTAAAGGAGGGAATCTTTTTAAGACTGTATGTTTGTATATCCAATGTCTTCCAAGAAAGGTGATCTAATCTAACCCTATTTTAGTGGTAGAATAGACTAATATTATCACAATCAATATATAATCGATTTAAATCGATTTTTAAAATAGTATTTGTAAAGAAGGAAATCTTTTTAAGACTCTGTATGTTTGTATATCCAATGTCTTCCAAGAAAGGTGATCTAATTTAACCCTATTTTAGTGGTAGAATAGACTAATCTTATCAAAATCGATAAATAATCGATTTTAATCGAATTTAGGAATCATTTTAAGACCATGTATGTTTGTATATCCAATCTCCTCCAAGAAAAGTGCTCTAATCTAACCCTATCCTAGTAGTAGTCTAGCCTAATCTTTAAAACCTCCATTCCAATCGATAGTTTATCGATTTAAATCGAATTTCCAAGTAATCTTTTAATCCAATGGAACCACTATAGCAATTCTACGTATGTATATCCTGTTTCTTCCTAAGAACAAGGATCCAAAGCAAAAGCTAACACCAAAAATTTGTAATCCTTTTTGTTTTGTCCCGCATTTTGTTTTGTTATCGATATTTTATGGCTCTGTTTTGTCCTGCAATCTAATCGATATATTCTTTAAGATCGATAACCAACCGATAAGCTAATTTTTATAACTTCCTCCAGACCATCGATGCTATCGTTTAACCACCTGCTGCAAACACTCCTGCACGTCCTCCAGGTGACGCTCTCCTTCCTCCTCATGCTGATCTTCATGACCTACAACGTGTGGCTCTGCCTGATGGTCGTCTTGGGCGCCGGTGTCGGTTACTTTCTGTTTTGCTGGAAAAAGTCGGTGATTGTGGACGTGACGGAGCACTGTCACTAGCAGAGGACCAGGGACACAGGACCACCCCATCCAACAGGCTCAACCCAACAGAGTAGATACCCACACCTGAACCTCAGCCAACGATGTCTGACCTCGGAGGAGGAGGATGTTGAGGTGACGGCTGCTATCTAAACATGGCAATGTTTTTGGGATTCCCCCCCACCCGGAAGTTCTCACCCCACAAAATCATACTTCATAACCCCCCACACACTCTCTAGATATCTCTAGGAATTCAGAAAAATAATGATTTTTAGGCAAAAAGTGTTGTAGAAGCTTTTAGGGAATTATTTGTAATGAAAGTGAAACAAAAAAAAATGCAATATTTCAACAAAATACTGTTATTTCGAAGGACTCTACACACCCAAAAAGCAAATATTATTTTTTTTTATCACAATTATAACATTTTGTATCCTTATTATATATACAATTATGATGATTATGATGATTATAATGATTATTAATATTATTATTATTTTTGGTAATAAAATACAATTTTTTTTTTTATATATTTTCTTTTCAATTTTCTATAAAAGACACATTTTTTTTGTTAAATTTTTTAAAATTGTTGGTTCGAGTCTGAAAATGCTTTGGATGGACAGTGCGTTTCGAAACTAAAAAACTATGCAAGCATTTATGTTTTAAATATCCCAAAATTGTAAATAATAATGAAATATATTCATCAAATTGAACCCCCCCCCCCCCTTTTTGGCTTCCAAAGCTCTCGTTATAACTGAAACCCCAACCCACTGCCTTACAATACCGAAACGCACTGTATGCATCATCGTATAACAAAATAGATGTTGTAGATATTAATCATAAAAGCAAATACATACAGTAATACAAAAAGGCAACAAATTATATAATATTAATACTATTATTATTATTATTATTATTATTATTATTACATCCTATTGAAAATAAAATGAATAAATATACACAAAACTGGAATATTGTTAAAACGAAAAAAATGAGATATTTTTTTTAAAAAAGAAAACAACATTATTGAATTAATTTTTGTGGTGATTTTTTGTTTCTTTATTTAAAAAATTATTGCGAGTTTCTCAATATATATATTATATATATAGATATATATGGTTTATATACGTAGAATGTGGATAGGCTTACTCATATCGTAATTCATAATTAAAAACATTTTTTACATGACTACAGATGATCGATCGAATAGTTTTAATCGTTTCTCTTGCTTTTTCTAATATTGGTTTTGGGTTAGACTAAGCTTTAAATCCGCGCTCTTCGATTTACCATACTAATTTTGCTCAGTGGATTAAGGTTATGGGATGTATGGGATAAGCAAAGGTCAAGGGTTAAAGGGGTCAAACTCAATTAATTTGATTAATTTGCTAGACGATTAGAGGGGTTATCGGTTGAGGAACTCGGTTTCAACACAATATTTGAGTTCCACAAAGGATAACGGATAATGGATAATGGATAATAATGGATAGTGGATTATAAGCAGATGAGAGTAATTTAAATTCACCTCTCTCTCTCTCTTGCTCTCTCTCTTGCTCTGTTTGTTTGTTCTCTTCACAATCTCATTTTCACAATATCGATATTGTGATCGATATATTGATCGATAATCAATAATAATCGATAATTGATCGTTCGTTGATTGCCGATTGTTGATTGCTGGCAGCTATCCTGATTTTTTTTTCTGTCGTGAAGAAACATTTAGGGTTTTTGGAGATGTGGCATAGAAGTTACCTGCTTGGTTCTTCTTTCTCTTTCTCATAACACACTCAATATATCTCTCCTTATCGATTCGATGGTTTTTCCAGAGTTTCCAATCATCCTGGAATGTTTCATACAAAAATAGGTATAAGTCATTGAAGCCACAAGATGGTTATTCCAAAATTTTATAATTATGGGGTCTCTCTAGATCTAATATAGGATAGTATCGAGTGTATTTATATGTCAAAGTTCAAACCTCGTCAGAGTAGGTGTATATGTATGGGTGTGTGTGTGTGTGTTTGTGTTTGTCTGGAGGTGGTGTGGCACACGAAACAAAAAAAACATTAAGCTACGAAGGATTCTTTTTTTTTTAGCTTTTACCATCACAATTATATAGACTTATACAATATCTTATAGGCTACAGGGGGTCGGGGGTCAGTCGCAAAATTACCTGGTTGTTTTTTTTTTCATTTTGTGATGAAGAGGAGGAGGGGATTATGAACATACACATGTCTGTGCGTGTCTTTTGTGGATAAACATAGTAGGAACGCCCACTTCCCTTTCACTGTTACTCTCTCTCTCTCTCTCTCTCTACCTATGCTTTTATAATTATGATTATAATTTAAAATTTAATTTGATTGAACAGATTCAATTACCTCGTAGTTTTTTTTTGGCTTGCAGATATCGCTGGGAATGGTTTCTATTATTTTTCTTTGGATATTGTATGAAAGTGCAGGGGATTGGGGGGGCTGGGGCAGTACACCACATCAATAAGAGAAGAGTATATTGTATATATTTTAAATATATATTTATGTATTTAAAAAAAAAAATGTTATATAAAAACATTAACAACTACGACGGCAAGCCGACGTCATAAATGTCCTTTTCGTTTGTTAATGGCGGGGATCATTTTACTCAAAGCCAGTGTGACCAAAACTATAAAAATTCAATAATTTTGTGTGCAGGCCACACTTTTTAACAAGTTAACCTCAAAATAAAGAAACTTTTAACTAAATTAATAAATAAAACAAGTAACTAGATTAGAAAACAAAACAACTTAAGCAATTGGATTTATTTAAGCTTTATTTTTTTATTTGAAAAAGGACATTTTTTGGTTTTTTTTTTTTTTTGGGAAAAAAATTGAAAAAATGTACCTGCATCTGTCATCTCTCTCATTCCCTCAGTGGTATTAGTTATTTTTTTTTTATCTAGGGACTACGACTACGTACCTCCACGGAGTGAGGGGTATCTTAGAGACATGAAGGAAGTGAGGTTTGTGGAACCCATCCCGTGATCCCATCCACATTTAAAAGCACATGCAGTTCGTAGTGGTCTCACTTCTAATATCACTATTATATTATATATACATTATATGATTTTCTTAATTGTTGTATGTATGTGTGTGGGTGTGTGTGTGTGTGTGTTTGAAGGGGGTGTGCGAGGGGTAGGAGGGAGTTTGATTGCATGATTATGCGTGAATATCTGTTTCTGTTTTTTGGATTAGTTAAGCGCAAAAGAGATAACAGTAAGGCTTGGTAAATACCTGTTTCAGTCACTCTGTTTCTGTCACGATCTGTCCCACCCCCTAGGGGGCCCAACCAAAAAAATATCTGATTATAAACCCTAATAACTAATAACTTTGAAAAAAAAAACTCAATGAAAACAAGGGATATTACATATTTCATATTCATAAACTATTGTAAAAGGTTTTTTATCTTAACTGAAAAAAAGGTTCTTTAAAGAATTCCAAAAGTTTCTTGGTTTTGGTACAAAATTGTATGAAAAATAGAGATATTTAGATCTTTAGAGTTAAGATCTTGGTAAAAAAAATTAAAAACAAATATTCATCGACTGTCTTTTTTAAAAAATTTCCTCAAAACTTAACCCAAAACATTAAAGGAACTGAACTAATACAGGTCACACACATAGGGATCGATATAGTTATCTTCTTCGATCGATATATAGTAGTTATAGAATTTATGGTACGAGAATGTCTACAGAGTGTGGAGTGGATGTTTTTGTTACATTTTTTTTTTTTTTATAAATATTTTTTCTCAGTGCTTGACTCACCTCTGATACTCCTCTGATACTGTATACTTTTTTTTTCAATATATATATATATATACTTTATATATTATTATTTTTTTTTTTTTGGAAATTTTTTTTTTTTATGTTAATGATTTTTATTATTATTTTTTTTTTTTGGTACCTCGATTATTTTCCGCCTGCGTTAGCGGAAAAATGGAAAATTGCGATTTATGTTGTTGGTGTTGTTGTTGTTAGATTTGCTCCTGAGCTTCGAATCGGACTCTCAACTTTCTTCTTAATATTGCAGAATTGTTTTTCTTTTCTTTTCTTTCTTTTCTTTCTTTCGTTTTCTTTCTTTCATATTTCTTGGTTAGTTAGTGTTACTATATTTGGTCTCTTAGTAGCGGCTGCGACTCCGACTGCGGCCATGCCGTTCGCGACTATCGTGTCGGTTGTGATGGTTGTGATGCCGACTACTCCGATTCCCGCCGCCAGTTCCACCGCCACCGCCATTGCTGCCTCCACTGCGCGAATACGAGTGATGCGAACCGCTATGATGCGACTTGTGGTGATCTGTATTGTGGGATAGACAGAAGCCCAGTTAGTGGAAAAGCTCGTAGGGTGGTCTCGTGTGCAAAAGTTATACAACTTCTGAGAACTTACGGTGACGCCGATCCGAGGGCTGGCGATTCTGGACATAATCGCGACTACGTTCTCGATACTCGCTGCGGGGTTCACTGAAGGACAAGCCGCAAAAAAAAAGGTAAATATTAGTACATTACATGATACAAAGATAAATATAATACATCTTAGTCTCTATGTGAAACAATGTAAGGAATTTGGCAAGAATTACTTTCAAGTAATACTGCAAGTATTAGTCACTTTCGGGGGGCAACTTGCCAAATCGCTGCTATTCTGTTCTATTCTTGTAATTACCGTCTGCCTTCGTAGGAAGAAGAATGGAAGCGCTGGACCCGACCGTCCCGCCTTCGCGACCGATCCTCCTGTTCCCGCTCTTTTTGTCGGGCATCGTTTATCTCGGCGACAGCAGTCCGCAGCTTGGAGTAACCCAAATGCTGTTTCCCCATCAAATGATCCTCGATCCTCTGCTGGGCATCGCCGACTATCAGAAAAGCACCGCATATTTCGCAGACTTTCATCTGTTTCTCGGGCAGGGATTCGTGGCCCCAGGTCTTTTCAGTTTTCACCGCCTCGCCCACCGGTGTAGTTGTTGTTGGTTCCACTGCACCAGCTACCTCGCCATCGGGGGCATTCTCCGAGGCGGATGGTGCTAATGGTGGTGGTGGTGATGTCTCGATAGGTGGCGGGGAGGCAGTAGCTTCCTCAGCAGCATCCTGGATGGCGGGAGCTTCGTTTGAACTGGGATTTGTGCCGGAAGTTTCCTCCTCCGGATAAAGATTAAGGCTATTGATGGCCCTTTGGGCAGCTTCGTATTGTATTGTCAGCTTCTCCTTCTCCTCCTTGAGCTCCTCGCACAGGGTCATTAAATCCTGGGCCTGATCCACATCCCCACGGATGCCCGCTTCCTCGGCTTCGGCCAGCAGCTTATTGATTCTCCCATTCAAATTGGCCAACTGTTCCGCCTGCCTGCTAAGCGGCGCCACAGCCGGCTGATCCCGCTGCATTAACTGGAGTCGCTGCTTGCCCTTCTGTATCTTTCGGTCGACATCGTGTAGCATTACATTGCAGAAGCGCAGGAATTCGTCCTCATATTGGCGTTTCCGCGCCGACGGTCGCGCCTCCTCGTACAGATGCCTGGCCTCGTCGTCGTGGATGCGGGAGCAGGGACCGAGATCGGCGCGGGTGTTTATGAACAGATCATGCGGGCAGAATCGAACATTATAGAACTGACAGAACTGCAAAAGAGAGGAACATAAGATAGAATCAAGTGCGAAAATGGGGTAACTTCATGGCACCTACCTCGGGGTCCTCCCAGTTGACTTTGTGGCCCGCCTCCGAGGGATGCAGGTTACGGTTGCGGCCCATCAGCTCGTCGAGCATTTGCCTGGCGGCGTCCACCATTTTTGCTTAGCTCCTTTTTTCGGAGCAGATCCGAGGTGGGGCTGTTGTTAGATGTGAGGGAGGGTGTCTATGTTCCGGGTCACTTTGACGGACAGGTGCCGTCTGCCAGGTAGCCGGCAGGATAATGTGTAGACCACCACACAGGCGGGAAGCACGTGTTGGTATTAATTTACCTAATAATTTTGTTCGCGAATCAATAAAATTTACGTATCGCGATGGTATCGAAATTGTGCATATTAGTGTGACCGCATTTTAACAGAATAAAAATACTCAGTCAGTTAATTTGAAAAATTGTAAAATATTTAAAATAAACAAGATATTTTTAAATTTCTATTGCTTAATTACTGAATATGTATAGAAAGGGCGAACGTTTTTGCAGGTTTTGTAAGAAACTTCAAGTTTCCGGAACCAGTTGGGTGACGGATACTACTCCATACTTGATTACTTCTTGACATTTTAAAATTGCTGAAAACAATCTTCAAAATATACGATGAAAAGGGGTAATTCAAAACTATAAATATGGTATTGAAATAAAATGGAATTTGAAAGGGTATTTTTCAATTCAAAAAAGAGCGCCAATTTTAAAACGAGAACTAGTTATCGGAACCATTTCCGATAAGTTTTCGTTAACGAAAAGTTTATGTGAAGGAATTTAACAATATTATAATATAATATAATGATTACATGATGTCTTTAATTGCATAAAATATCAGAATCAGCAGAGTTTAATTTAAAATGTTTAATGCTTTTTTAAAAACTTTTTCTTTAAATTCTAAAAAAAATGTTTAAATTATTAAATCAGTAGAAGATTCTTGGAAAGTTATATATAAAACGATACAAAAAATTAAATATATTGCGTAGAAATCACGATAGTTATAAAATCTAAGAAATTTTTAAATTTAATATTTCCCGCCCAAAAATTTGTAATCGTTCTTAGTCCCTGAAAATGTGGGCGCACTAGTGATGGCTTCGGGTCAATAAATTTCAATAGGGCTTTTGAAAGTCTTGTTAAAATCAAATATTTTAAGGTTTATTTGTACTAATTTTTCAGTTTTAAGGAACATTAAATTAATATTATATTTTCAGAAACAAATTATACATATAAGTAGAGATCTTTATGTATTTAAGCGTATATTTTGAATTCAACATAGGTCGAGAACGCGCAGCACTGATGCCAGAAGCGGCCTGCCAGACGCCACCTGGCAGACGCGGCCCGCTGCCGACCAATCAGAAGCAAGCAAAATCAGTGATGGACACGGCATTAATGGTTTGAAATCTGCCTATCGATATTCAGCCCGCCATCATTTTCGATTCGTTTTTGCAGTGTTTAGGCAATTGCAAATGCCCAAAACACATGAAACTAATTACCTAAAGAACAAAAAAGGATCTTAACAGTTAGTTCTTAGTCATTGAGACAATATAAAACCCTTAAGAAGCTTCCCGATGGGGCCAGCTATCGATATTCTAAGAAACACACCGACACATCGATAGTGCTATCGCCGCCGACAAGCACACCTCTAACGTCGCAGCACCGTAGGCGCCCATATCATCATTTTTTGTCAGAGCGCCTAGTCGTTGAGCTGTCACATCCCAGTCCGAATACCAAGCGGTAAACACACACATTAAAATTACTAAGAAAATTATTTTTGCGGCAAGTAGACTCGATTTGTGAAACAAGCAAACAGAATAACAGCATAAAATTGGAAGTTCTTATAAACATTCCGTGAGCCACCATTTTTTTTTTCACGTTCTCTCGAAAAGTTCTCAAAAGAAAAAAAAAAAGTGCAAAAGCCGCGGCGTGCTAAATTTTTATTGCGTGCAAAATTGCTCTATTGAGAAAAAAAAACAAGAAGGAGCCCTTACACATACCAACGCACTCGTACACATACACTCAATAGCCCTTCTTTTTTTTTTATTTGCATTTTCGGTTTTTTTTTTTGTTGTTTTTTTGTGAAATTTAGATATTTTCCATTCGCTTTGGTGTGACAGCTGTTGTTGTTGGCTGAGTAGAACGCCAAAGCACTGGGAAAATCTCTGAAAATTGAAAGCGACAAGCCGCAAGCTCCCGCGCAATCGGCCGAATCGTCAAATTTCTAAGGTAAGTCCCAAAAAAAAAAAAATCCAACAAAAATCTGGGAAACTTAAAACTGAAAATATATTTGTGTGAATGTTCTGAATGCAAGTTGTGTTGTTGTTTTTTTTTTTCATCAAATATGCACATACGAGACGATATTTTGCCCACGAAATTCCCATGAAGCAGGAAACTGCAGGGGCTGACCGAAATCTGAAAAATCCCACGCACAAGTTTGAATATTAATTCACAATAAAAAAAAAAACAAAAATGATATAATAATATTAGTAATATTTTGTGGAAGAAATCAAGTTTTCACGTTTTGACATGACGTCAGGTTGTATTTATTTCTTAAAGTCGTTTTGTCCGAAATCTCGGCAATCTGTCGCTTAATTTATTCATAGAAGCTCATAGGCAGCAATTATGGTCTGCGGTTTCCGCTAAAATTCGGGAACTTTCTATTCTTTCTGTACGAGTTTCGTTTTTCGGTTGCAAATTACTGCCAAATCATGTTTGGACAAGCATGCATGCATATGTAAGAAGAAGCAAAAAATGCCCATTCATCTGTCAAAATGACAGATGACATGTTTTCACCTGAATTTTGCCAAACCCGATAATGACATTTTGCGGGATGGCTGATGAAAGGGAACGTTCGGAAAATTGGTTAATTAGTCGAGTCCTATTTCGACATCAAAAATCGCTGGTTTTCAATTTCAAGAACTCGTACGCACACGGACCCAGCACCAACACTAGCACCACATGTTGGTTGCAGAATATTCTGCATGTTCCCCGGGAAATTCAATTATCTTGCGTTTCTGCATGAGTGTGCGTATGTGTGGCCAGCAAAAAAGCATTGCATACTTCCAGGTGCATGTCCACTTCTCTCTTCCGCTCGCTCTCTCTCTATCTCTCTCTCCTCCTGCCATTCATTCCGCTCAGTTTGCTGTCAGCCTGTCATTTATAATTTCATTTTGTCATTTTGTGCTCGTATGTGTGTGTGTGTGTATGGTGTTGTAAAAAAAAAAAAGTTTCGCGCTTCGATTTTCCGCTTTGCTTTATCATAAATACCCAACTACAAGTACAACTATCCTGGTCGTCGTCCGCTTCCTTTCTTGTTTTTTAACTTTATTTTTTTTCATCTTTCATTTTCCCCCCTCTGCTCTCTCTCTTAGTCGCCTCTCACTCGACCGCATTGTGCTGGCCAACGAGCTGTCTCCGTCTGTTTAACTGTCAATGCAGTTTCTAATTGACTTCATCAGGGTACAGGGCAAGGGGGACAGGATGATGGCTGCTGGGCCTAGCCCAACGTGCCATCCTTCTCGCACCACATCACACCACAGCCACTGCCATCGGCCATTCGGCCACCTGTCAACGTTCTGTCGTTGCCATGATGGCAGTCAGATCCCGTTATGATTTGTCAGCAGTAAAGACATAATTTCCTTTAAAATGGCGAAAGAGAAGCGAAAAATTAGAAGAAGAGGAAATATCGAATCGAGTCGATGATTCGGAAAAGATTTTTCATTTCAAGCTCATTAAGTTGTTACATTCTGATAATTATGTTAATTAAATATTTAATTTTTAAATTATGTTTTTTTTTTAATAAATTAATTAAATCTATTTGTCATCCACAAGGCCAAGGCCTTAGAGTTCCTTTTGTAAAATATTTAGGAATATTTTTTTTTTCAGTGCTCTGATTTCACAAAATGGCTAGCTCTCTCGGCCACTTTTCTCACTCCCCTTTGCCATTTTGAATTGCATTTTGGTATTTGGTATTTGCTTTGCTTTCGCTTCTCCCACGCTTCCCCCCCCCCACACTACCCCCCACGCCTTCCACCACTACCGTTTTCTGCAACTAATAAGCAATGCCACTGTTCGCAAAAGTATGCTACGATAAATGGCTGGAAAAGAGAAATTGCAATGCGTGTTTTGGAGAGTGTGTTGGTGTGGTGTGTGTGTGTTCTAGCTTGTATTAGTATGGGTGTTGTGTGAGCCTTGAATTTGAATTAGTTGTTGTTCTTTCTGCTTTTACCTCCGCCGCAGCCTCTGTCACGGCCACTGTACGTGTTTGTATGAATATCTATGTATGTGTGTGTGTGAGTGTGTGTGTTTGTGTGGAAGGAGAGCATCTGCTCAAGGCCATGTGCAATACTCTCTACTAACGCCGACCATCTAGACGTCCCTCTTACTCTCCGCTTAGCGCTTGTGTGGGTGCATCGAGGCATGTGCCATACATCAAGGGGTTTCTCATATTAAATATTTTTTTTTTTATACTTTAGCTCTTATTTAGTTAAAATGAAATTGTTTCTAGAATATGCTTGGGTCTCTCTTTTATAAAAGTTCTCATTAAATCGTCGTTTTTCCCGTCATGGTTCGTTTTAATAAATTTTCATATCCAGTGGCTCTGATATTTGATTTGTAATGTTGCTGTTGCTTGTTTTCTATAATTAAATTGCTGCTGTTGCTGTCGATGATGATGATGCTGCTACTGCTACTGCTGCAGCACGCAGTCCCAAAAAAGTATGCAATGCGCCTGCGTCAGTATGTGTGTGGGTGGAGTAAAGGAGGGGGAGTATGTATGTGTGTGTGTTCGCGAGCTAACTTGATTAAGTTCCCCGCTCTTTAATTGAAAAAAAAATGCTAATAACATTTTCGCGATGCGCTTCGCCTCCTCTCCAGTGGCGTAGCTCATCTCTTTTCTCTCTCTCTCTCTCTCTCTCTGTGTATTTACAGTTTGGTGAAAGCCCAAGAAGGAAGGAGGATTACTCAAGACACGTCGAAGGAAAACAACAAAAAAAGCCAAAATGTCTGATCGCAAGGCCGTGATTAAGAATGCTGACATGAGCGAGGAGATGCAGCAGGATGCTGTCGACTGTGCGACACAGGCTCTGGAGAAGTACAACATTGAGAAGGTAAGTGGAAAGATTGAAAAAGTTTAGAATAATTATAAGAGCAAACACAGATCATCAACTCTCTCACAGGCAGATAGTACTCTTACAGTTCATACTCTCTTGTTCTAAAGATCATGAGAGAGAACTCTTAAGCTTTTCTCGCTCTCTCCACTTTAAGCTCAGGCAGTAGCATTCTCAACTACTCTAACACGTGCATTTCATACTCTCTTACTGGAGATCATGAGAGGACTCTTAAGCTTTACTCCCTCTCATCTACTCTAAGCTAAGTTCATACTCTCTTACTGAAAGACCATGAGAGGACTCTTAAGCTTCCTGCCAAACTTTTCTGTTAAAATACAACAGGTGACAGAGACAAGACAGGACACGACAGAACACGACAGGACTGGAAACAGGTTATAAGCTTAAATGCCAATTAGTCCATTTTCCACTCGAAAGTTGCCAAAGTTGCTGAAAAGATTTTTTAATTATGACCCAAATTGGCATGTTTGCTGTTTTGTTAGAATTTGGACTTGAATAACTTTTGGAATGAATGGAGCAACAGAAGAGCAACTATAAGGTGGGCTGTATAGGTAGGTGGATGTGGTGGTGTCCTGGCAACTAGGGGTTTTGATTGTCACATCATAGCTTAGGCCCACCGCAGTAACTATAATTAAATTCTTGGTCCATTTGGCAGAGGAGTGGGCGGTGGTTGTGGGTCAGCAGTAGAACCCACATTGTTGCATCTCCATTGAGAAGATGGTGCATCATCGGCCGACCAACTAAACCACCACCCACTCTGTAAAATTGCGGTTTCAACTGCGTTTGGCAATTTCACAATTTTGCGGTTACAGCCTTTGGGGGGGGGTGGGGGTGGGCCTGTGTTCCCAGCCACTCAACTTCCTCCGCCCACTGGCCAGCATCCAGACAGTTGCAGTTGCAACTAAAATCCACCACGACTATATGCAACTGAAACGTGGCAACTCCTCTTCCACAAACAATGCACCATATTTTTCCAGGAATTTTTTGTTGTAATTTTATCTCGACTTTTCTGGGCTTGACCTTTACACTTTCAGCTTTAGCTTCAGGGGTCCAGCTCCAGCTCCAGCTCGGTTAAAAGGCCAAACAGCGCGATTCTAGGAAAATGAAATATTTAATAATAAACTGAAATGAATTGCAATTTTAAATTATTTACATTTCTTTAAACTAGCCCTGATTTAAAGCTCAATTTTCGGGGGAAAGGGTCTTGACCATCATTAACAACTGTTTTTGCAGAGAGAGGGGGGTGATGGGGGGAAACTAAAAGCAAAACGAAACGAAAGCTAATAAGCTCTTGATTTAGTCGGTCGGCGAAAACAAAAACAATAACAAAGTCAGCCAGCAATGTCAACAAAGTCCAAGAAATTGAATAATCAATATGCGGGGCAGGGTGGGACGTAGGGGACACACACACACTAACTTACGCATACATGGAGAGAGAGAGGTGCTGTTGGTCAGACCCTGACTAAGGTCAGTAAAAGGGATTAGCCGGCTAATGCGACTGGTCTGATACCCTAAAGATTATTATTTTTTATCTGAAATTGATAAGAAAAGGCAGATAAAAAGATTAAAAAGAATTCAACTGTAGACTTTAAAATAAAATAAGACAATTCTTAATTCTACAGAATCTCTATAATTCTACAAGTCCCCGATAACCCATATACCCTTTAACCTACAAATACCGGCTATAAATATGGGCTGCGGGGGGGGCTGATAGAGGGGGAGCGCAAAAAAGCTGGGAAAAAGCAGCGGGGTTTCGCCTTCAACTAACGGGCCTTTGTCAATGCCAATGGCAGAAGACAACACACTGAGACACTGCGATAAAGAGGGCGACAAAAGGAGAAAGAGACGGAAACAGAGACAGAGCAGAAGACTCGAGTCTGAGAGACTGAGACTGGGAAGGAGAAACGCGAGCCCTTGAAAGCAAAGCAAAGTAAACTTGAAATCACAGCGGAAGTAGATGGATAAAAGGCAAAGAGAGCAAGGGGGTAAGAGAGATGGGGGGGTCTTTGGAGGGTAAAGCTCAGAGGAGAGAGACAGAGAGAGAGGGTCTGCTAATTGAGCAGTAAAAGCGAAATGTGCGTCAACAGTAGGCACGGTTTTTCAAGAAAATCAGGTGGTATCATTTCAGAAGGTGACGAAAATGAAGTTATTTTTAGATTTGTGGTTTTTATAGTGAAAGCTACTTAGGGATTATCTTTATTTAGGATTTTGTAGCAAAAACAACTTTTAATAAGACAGATTCTACTGTATTTGATATATAAGTTGGGTTAGAGAGGTTAGAAAGGTGACGAAATATTAAGACATTTTTAAATTTTAGATATTTTTAATAGAATCGAATATTTTTATGGGATTTTATAACAAAATTAGGGCTAATAAAGACTGATAGATAGTATTTGTCACAGAAATCCGTTGAAATAGTTTAGAAAGGTGACGAAAGTAAATAGATTTTACTTAGATTATTATTATAGATTATTTTTAATATTTTATATATTTAAAAAATTAAAAATTCCTTTTAGATTTTACCCCAAAAACCCATATCCTTATTAGCAGGAAACTACTGTATTATCCTTCACAGCCTGCCAGCCTGTTGCCTGAAAGTATGCATCACATTTTGATTTTACGCCCCTGTGGATGTTGTCATTGCGGTGTGTGCGGGTGGGTAGGGAGTGGGAGTGAAAAAAACACCCTCACAGGACACCTGAACCCTATGTCGAGCCTACCTCTTGTTGCTATAAATAAAATATATGCCACACCATCACACGCAACACACACACACACACACATATACAGGACTCACACAATCACACGATTGATTGCCTTTTGTAACTGTGACTCTGTGTAGCTTCCTCTTTTTGTACTCTTCTTCCTGTTGTTTATCCTCTGGGCTCTTTCTTCACTCTCCTTATTGCATAATAATAAGTTTGCCATTATTTTCCCCTCACCAGTGTCTTCCCTCCTTTTTTTTTTGGTAATTAAATATGGATTTTTGAAATTTAATTGCTTAGAAGAGGAAAAAATAGATGTGGCTGCCAGAGTAGAAGAGGACCTTTAACCTTTAGGCAGATGCTGAGACAAAAAAGTTAAAAATTTTTATATTTTTCTAAAAAAAATCAATAAATGACCTGAAACTTCAGATGGGGTATCAGTAGGGGGTACTTTTATTTCCACTAGGATTTCTAGCCTGCTATTGTCCTGTCTGAGCATTCAAATCCCGGAAAGCTGATTATAAGTTCAAAAATTCCAATCAGAGACCCAACACACAGGTCTAGCGCTCTATAGAATGGGTTGGTAGGCGTAAAAAAAAAACAATTTTTGGTATCCATTAGATACGCAACTAATACTACACAGACTGACTGACACAGAGAGAGAGAGGGGGAGAGAGTGGGAGAGAGTGGGTTGGGTATCCCCTTGGGGGGGAACCGTCGCACAAGGGTTAAGCTTGTATACCTTGTGTATATATATTTTTAGGGGCGGCGCGCAACCTTTCAAGCAGCTTAAAATCGTATCCATAGGCATTATGTTGCCCTCCTCCACCTACCCACCTACCTACCCTTCCTACACCTATCCAACATTTATTTATGTATCTGTATCTGTGTCTGTGTGAGTCGCGATTTAAAGGTAAAGCCCCAAATAAGCCAACAAGAGGGCCAAAAACAAAAAAAAAAAAAAAAAAATGAATGTAATTACAGTTTTGCAGAGGCATTTCCATTTCCAATTAGAGAAAACTCTATAAATATTACTCTGTTATCCTTTGGATATCCTGTAAACAAATATCAACCATAAATAGTCCATAAAGAGACATATCATTTCAGCTTTCAATTCGCGTTTTTATTCTATTTTTTTGTTGTTTGTTGTTTGTGATTTTTTCTGCGTGGCCCAAAATGTTTAATCAATATGCGGCCAGAAGACAGAGTAGTATTCTTGGGTAGCAAATGTTTATGTAAAATAGGGTATAGATTGTGCACATTTATGCACTTACACACATGCAATATACAATTTCTTTTTTTTTCTTTCTGTATTGACACACATTCATCGAGTGCGGTGTTTTTTTTTCTGCTATACATGGTCTTGCATATTTATTGAGGCTCTCCCTGGGCGTGGAGGGGGAGGTTGATGTCTCTAATGGACAGAGAATTATCCAGGTGTACTTGTACGATTACTAATAGCGAGTTATTAAATGGACTTTTAATTGATGTAAGACCTGAAAGCAAAACCTTTTAAGGCCTGCAAGGTGGAGAGTATGTCACTGTTTTTGCAATGTCGATTTCATTAGGTTACAATATGTACAGGGATTTCTTTCTTTAGTGGCACACACGACATACTGTGGCAACAAACACACCTTTAACATCCACCACACCCCTTTTTTTGTAGTTTTGCTGGTGCCTGGCCTGTGTCAGAATGTTCATTTTCGTCCTCTTATTATTATTTCGTTGCCAAAACAAAATTCCATGGCATTGCTAAGGGGGCTGGGCTGCCACCCCATCTCACTCCAAGCCAAAATTGAATATAAAACAATCAACTTTATATTGCCGTCTGACACGACACGAAAAAATACACGCAATAGCTTCCAAAAAAGAAGAAAAAAATCATAAAAGAAAAGAAATTGAAACTAAAAATATACAAATATTGAAAACTAAGAAGTATTCAATGGGGTCTTTGTTCAAGGATTTCAAATGATTATAGGTTATACTAACTAACAGATATTAACCCTTTTCGAGTGTAATGACAACTCTGATTGAAGTATATACTAGCTAGCTAGCTAACTGAAAATAAGGAACTGGATAATGGCACTTGGCTAAATCAGCTTTACATTGTTTTTCCCCCCCCCTTGCTTTATAGTTTCTTTTTAGGGTTTCCTTTCCTTTCCCCGCCCCACTCTTTTGTTTTGTTTTTGTTTTGAGGTTACCGGGTTAAGTTTATGACTTTGCACGCATTCCTCTGCATTGGCTTTGGCCAGAGACCCATGCTAACCCATGCCACATGCCACATGCCTCCTTGGGTGACTAAATAAAATCAACTCCAAGAGTGGCGCCCAACGTGGAGCCCTAGAATGAGAAGGGGAAAGAGGAATTGAAGATAGTAACATGGTTCCATGCCCTTTTTTGTTCTTTTCTAGATTATCTTTTTATGTAATTTAGTTTTTAATTTAATTTAAGTTTATTTTTTATTAAATAGTTTAATTTTTTGTATAGTTTCCTTGTTTTATGTCCTTTTGCGTAACCCTGGACTTGGCCAGCAAACTGACAATGACCTTTGACATTCTGGCACTGCATCTGCAGCTACTTTGTGGTCCATCTTGTAGATATATCTGGACTCCATATATAGACATATAATTAGCATAGTTCTGGCCAACTGGGATTTAATTTCAAGCCGAATGTCTTAATACAAAGCAACAGTAGTTGGCCAAAACTAAAACCGAAACACCACAACAATCATAACTAACTCATTAGCACAAAAAACTTTTCCTCAGCCACTTTTACTTGCCTGGCTAGCTGGGGGGGGGGTGGTGCTGCCTGTTTTTGAGGTCACAATTTGGGTTACCCTAGTGACAGACTGATGATGGGTGGCAAGAAGGGCTGGCTGGGTGGGTGGGTGGTTCTGTTCTGGCGGAAAATGAGTTTTTCGTTTGGTATTTTATTGAGTTTTTTTTTTTGTTGCTGTTGTTGTTGTTGTGTTTGTGTTTGCTGCTAATTTCAAAACAGTTAGCAAGCTAGTTAGTTGGATTATAGCATTTAAGCATTGAAATTAAGGAATTAAACTAACTAATTTTATTTTTTGCAGGACATTGCCGCCTACATCAAGAAGGAGTTCGACAAAAAATACAACCCGACATGGCATTGCATCGTGGGACGCAACTTTGGATCGTATGTGACACACGAGACGCGCCACTTCATCTACTTCTATTTGGGTCAGGTGGCCATTTTATTGTTTAAGAGCGGTTAAAGTATTGTCGAGTCGGATGAAGTGGTGGTGAGGAGGCTGGCAGCGGTGCAGCGGCTGCAGCATGAGCAACTGCAACAGGAGCAATGGCGGCAGCAGCAGCAGCAGCAGTATCAGCGAGAACATCAACAACAACATTATCAAGAACATAAACAGACACAACAACAATTAAAACACTCTCAATCTGATTCCCAATCCCATGAAGAAAATTTCAAAAAAAATTTAATCAATGTTGATGAGATGCAACAACCCGATGCGGTATTATCTCCAAAGAAAGATGAAGATGAAAAAGACGAAATAGAAGCAGAAATAGAAACAAAAACAAAAACAGAAACAGAAGAACCGGAACCGGAACCGGATATGAAAATGACGATATACACGCGAGTTGCAGCAAAAAACAGAGATCACCGTGAATACACAACAAGAGGCACCCAGGCCGAAAAGGAGGATGAAAAGGAGCAGGTCTACATGGAACTAAGCGAGGAGGAGGAGGAGGAGAAGGATCAGGATCAGAATCAAGAAAATGCCGATAATGGAAAAGTGGAGGACGCAAACGTGGAGGGCCAGGGCCAGGATACCGATAACGATGACATTATAGAGGATGACTACGAGGACGAGGACGAGGACGATGATGATGATGGGACCATTGTCGAGGACAGCGATGCCACCAGCTGCAGTAGTTGTCGTCGCACCGAAATCGAAGATCACCATCCTAAACCCTGAGCTAAAGCATCCAACTAATTCCAATCTATACGATGCATGATTTGTTAACGAAAGGAATACCCTTAATGTTGGGCAGGGTATTCCTTCCATCCACCATAATCTGAATCTCGCTGAAAATGCATGAAAATGGCAAGAAAAAAATACTATAAAATAATACCACACACAAAATACACAAAATACTAAAGAATAGACCAACGCTATTTAAGTTTTTCGAAAAAAAAAAAAAAAATACTGTAATTTCTTCAAAAAATCCACAAAGATAATGATTTGGTTATCCACAACACTATATGATTTAAGTTCTGCCCCACTGCCCGGCCTCTCCCTTAAAACACCATCCCCACCACCCCGATCATCCCAAAATTGTACCTCCTAATTATTTTTTTGGTTAATAAAAACAAAAAATAGAAAAAAAAAGGGATAGTTTTCTCAACGAATGTATTTATGTGCTGGCGCTTTGTTTTTTGGCCTTATACCTTACTTATAAACATGAATAAACATGCATAAACATGCAAGAGAGAGAGAGAGCAATTAAACCATTGTTAAACCAACCCATGATTTTCATTTAATTTTTGTTTATTTTTTATCGTTGGAATCACACATTGTCCTTAAAATATTTACACATTAAGAAAATGTTTTTTTTTTAGTATAAATATTAAATATTTTTAAGGACAATACACACACATACAGAGGCAGACAGGCAATAACCACCACTACAACCGAACGAGAAAAGCAAGAAAGGAAAAGCAAGGATGGATTATTTTTTGAACTCTTCATTGAAAAATGAGAGAAAAAATAACAAAAATAAAAATAAAAAATAGAAAAAAAAATGTCAAATTTGCATACACAGGCACACACACACACACACACACAAAGACACGTCCTAACACGTCCTGACACGTCCTTACATCCTTACACCTAATAGATATACTTATACAATGTATTATTCATTGCTTTCGAGCAAAACCAGAGTATGTATATGTGTGTGTGTGTGTTGGTGTGTTTGGCATGGATTTTCCCACATTTTCCAGCCAAAAAGGACTCTCTGGCACACATACTAAGCCCCCCTATTGCTTTTCCCTTGATTGCTAACCAACAACAACAACAACAATAACAACAACTACAAAAATATACAACTATACAAAATATATATATATATATATAGGTTTATATATGTATATGTGTGTGTACGTGTGTATATGTATTGTCCATCCACAGCAACAAAGTATGCAGCAAAAAATTTTTGTAGAACTGCATAAAGCAGAAGTAAAAAAAAAAACCAAAAAGAAAAATGCAAAAATGAAAGCAAATCCACAAAACAAAAAAAAAAAAAAGAGAAGGAAAATATAATTATCATCTTGTCGTTTATATAAATGTGTGCTATGTGTTTCTTCAAATCGGGATTTATGTTATACAAAGGATAACCCAAAAAGAGAGAAGGATTAACCAACAAATATAAGAAACCACAAAAAAAAAATATATTATATATATATTATTCATGCAAGAAATACAACAAAAATAAAGTAAAAATTGGTGTAAATTATGCAAAAGAGCAAGCAAACTACAAGAATCTTAAGTAAAAAAACAAAAACAAAAAAAATGAAAACCTACTAAAAAAGCTTAATACGTAATTTCCTAAAAAAAAACATCAGAAACAGAAACACACACACACACACACTGAAACAGACAAAAAGGATAACAAACACACACACACATGCACACATACACATATATAAACTTCTCACATATGTATTTGTACACCGTGCACCTCTCTTTGGCTATTGCGTTTTAGATTATTGCTCAGCACGTTTTTTGCGTAGACACAACTAACGGTAATTTATGCTAACGGTAAGATATGGCCACTTTCCCCTTTCTCACCTCCCCACCCCTCTCACTCTCACTCACTCACTCACTCGAAAAAAGGTAAACGCGAAACACGAAAAAACTTAAAATTTTTTTCTTAAAACAAGACAGCGGAAAAATAAAAGAAAAATGGCGAGAACACAACCACAAAAAAAAACACACGAGGACTTCTAATAAGTGTTTATATATACAAATATATATATATATATATACATATGAAAAGATAAAAGAGCATAATTTTTTGTCATAATGCAAAATATTTGTGTGCAACCGAGCATAAGAAACCAATTTTTGATGTAACAAATACAAAAAAAAAAAAAAGAAAAACTACAAAAAAAAAATGAAGGAAAGCAAGAAAGAATACAAAATGGAGGACAAAAAAAGTACCGTAAAAAGTGAGATTAGTGAGCGAAAATGTAAGCGAGAAAAGCGCGCTTGTTTCTTTTGATTTTTCTTTTTAGTTCTTTTTGCATTTTCTTCTCACCTCCAACTCCCTCCACTCCCCATCGTTGCCTAGTTAAATACCCGATTCATTTTTGTTGTGGTTTTTTTTTACCGATCCCATTCTCAATTTTGTTTTGTAGTAACTTTTGAAACTCAAATCTTGTAGCTGCCATTTCTAAGACGAAGAAAACAACCAAGAAGAACAAATGCAAAATATATACAAACAACAAAAAAATGGTAACTTAAAAAAAAAACTAGTTTAAACTTAGTTTGTAAACTTTAATTCTCGATTTATTTGTTTATTCAATGTTCAACTTCTAACTGGGTTTTTATGTACGCAAGAAACAAACGTTATTTAAGTTTTTGTAAGAGTTAGTAAATTTTATGTGAGATGAAGCGGAATAGCAGCAGTTGCAGATTGCAAAAATTGTAAAATGCGAAATGCGAAGGTTGAACTGCAATGCGATGAAGGCAATTTCAAGTAACAATACGAGTAAGACAGGAGAAAAACCAAGTAAAAACCAAAATGAGATCTTCAATGTGAAATAAAAGTACTTCTTTGAAACCAGGGCTGCGTGTAAATTCAAATTGTTGAGAAGGGCGGGAAAAAATTAATCGGCACTCAAGGGGGCTTTAAACAAATCAAAATTGTCTTTATTTTCTCAAAAATGATTAAATTTATTTAAATAAATTCCCTTTTTATAAAGCTTTTTTACCGGTCAACTACATTTTAGTGTTGCCTAATTCGCTTTTTCAACCGAAAACTATCGTTTAGTGTTGGTTAACAAGCAAAGTGCACCAAAGATGAGCTTTTACAGCTTTTTCAGTATATAAGCTAGTATTTTTATAGCGCCACGTCTGTTAGGGTCGCACTGGTCACACTGGAACGAAGTTGTGTTGTGCAATAGAGTTGATAAACGAAACTCGGTTCTATTTTTTTTTGATTGTTTAACTTACAACGACGCCCGGCGGTGCGACTGAGACGGCAAATCCAGCGTGCGATCCATCCTAAATAATCCTAGTCGAGTATCGAAAAGATCCTATAATTATATTCAGCGAAAATGTTGCGTACCCTGTCACGCGTTACCGAATTGCCAATTATTGTTAAGCAACTGCAAAAAGTACGTAATCCTGCTTGCTCAGCTAAAAACCAAATTATAGATAAAACCTAACATCTCAAATGTTTGTTACTAATTTTGTTTAAAAAAAAAAAAATGCAAAAAAACCAATTAAATCACTAAAACAAACAACAACACAAACACAAAGTGTTGCAACAGCAACAGCAATCGTACGATCAGCTGCAACAACCGGAAGAACAACAATAATATACCAGGAAATGGAAAAAGGATACTGCAACTACAACAACAACATCAATATCAACATCCATCACTGATAGCGGTTAGATATTCATCGTCGTTTTTCGGTTTATTCCAGAATGCAGCATCAGCTGGTGTGGCAAAAACCAACAACTATGCCACGGAGGCCACCATACAAGTGAATCGGGTGAGCATATATATATAATAATATACTTAATGCTTTACAAAAAAAAAAAGAAAAAAATACCAAAAACTTTCAAAGGATTACATAATGCGCTTTCTGCCAAAGAGATAGCGATAGTTACTATGTGTATGTGGGTGTGTGTGTGTGCACAGGGTTGCATTAAATGCCGGTCAACTTAATTTCAAAATGACAAGGTCACTCAGTCATTAGAATATCACGGAGATTTTTCCATTTATTGGCACGACTTTATTTTCTTTGTCGCCTCCTCTTTATCGCTTTGGTTTAGCGTGCTCTGCTTTTTGCGTGGCCGCCGCGTGACTGTTCACGCACAATAAAAGCGTTATCAGCTGGGGGATCGGTGATTGCCTATATCTCTCTCCTCCTCTGCCTCTCTTTCTCGCTCACTTGTCTGTCTGTCTATTTGCCCGTGGGCAAATAATTTTCCCCGTGGGAATATAACGGTTCATAAATCATATGGGCCAAATATAATCTGCGTTTTGGTAGTATAATTCGATAAGTGGCCCTGACATTGGTTGAGCTTTATCACCGTTTACCGTTAATAGAAACAGCTGATGATCAGCTGTTGGATGCTCTTGTTTTGGTAATCAATTTTCTTTTTAGGGGGTTTTCTTATTTAGTCTTCTATTTATAAAAAAAAGGTTTTATTTTCAAAACAAAACTTAAGATAAATATAGTTTATCTTTTATTACTCAAAAATATCGAAAATAATCGATAAAAAGCTTAATATTGATATTCTTTATGGTTTCTATCTCTAAAGTATCGATAATAATCGATAAAAAAGGATAATATTGCTATTCTTTATGGATCCTTAATTTAGAAACCCTTAAAATATCGATAAAAATCGATAACAAAGGATAATATTGCTATTCTTTCCTGTTTCTTTTTTCAAAACATCGATAAAAATCGATAAACAGTGCTCTAACCTTAAATATTTTTAAAAAGTTTAGTTTTTTTAAAAAAACACATCTTATTTTTTAAAGAAAAATGTATTAATTTTCTTAATTTTTAGCCATTCAAGCTGCACCGCCTGGACGAGGGACCCGCCACGGAAGTCAAACTGACCAAGGATGAGGCCCTCAAGTACTACACACAGATGCAGACCATCCGTCGTCTGGAGACCGCCGCCGGCAATCTCTACAAGGAGAAGATCATCCGCGGTTTCTGTCATCTGTACTCCGGCCAGGAGGCCTGCGCCGTTGGCATGAAGGCAGCGATGCGGGATGTGGACAACATCATCTCGGCATACCGTGTCCACGGCTGGACCTATCTGATGGGTGTTTCGCCGGCTGGCGTACTGGCCGAGCTCACCGGTGTCCAGGGCGGTTGTGCCCGCGGCAAGGGCGGCTCCATGCACATGTATTCCCCCAACTTCTATGGCGGTAACGGCATTGTGGGAGCACAAGTGCCCCTCGGTACGGGCGTGGGACTGGCCTGCAAGTACAAGGGCAACGGTGGCATGTGCCTGGCGCTGTATGGCGACGGTGCCGCCAATCAGGGACAGGTGTTTGAGGCCTACAACATGGCCTACCTGTGGAAGCTGCCCGTGATCTTTGTCTGCGAGAACAACAACTACGGTAGGTGCTACACTTTCTTACTTGAATTCCAATCCATGAGATGTTCTTGCAGGAATGGGTACTAGCGCGGAGCGTGCCTCTTGCAACACGGACTACTATACCCGCGGCGATGCTCTGCCCGGTATCTGGGTCGATGGTATGGATGTTCTGGCTGTGCGCAGCGCCACCGAGTTCGCCATCAACTATGTCAACACTGTTGGTCCTCTGGTTATGGAGACGAATACCTACCGTTACTCGGGACACTCCATGTCCGATCCCGGCACCTCGTACCGTACCCGCGAGGAGATCCAGGAAGTGCGTCAGAAGCGTGATCCGATCACATCCTTCAAGGAGCTGTGCATCGAACTGGGTCTCATCACCGCCGATGAGGTTAAGGTGAGTAGCTTTGAGGGATTCTGGATGGCAGATTATAAAGTATTCTTGTTTTTGATGCCAGGCCATCGATCTGAAAGTGCGCAAGGAGGTGGATGAGGCCACTGCCTTCGCGAAGAGCGATTCCGAGCTGGGTGTTAGCCACTTGTGGACGGATGTCTACTCCAACAACCTGGAGCCCAAGCTGCGTGGCACCATTGGCTTCGATTTGGATCACATCCAGGAGCGCAAGGGCGTCAATCACTAAAGCCTTTAAAGACGGGCAACGAATCCGATTCGGGGAACTCACACAGGACATAGGACACAGGACACAGGACACAGGACACAGGACATAGGACACTGGACAAAGACAGACACAAACACACACATAAGCGAAATCTCTAGCTCTTAAGCGAAAAGTTGAAGAAACGATAGAAAGACGATGAGAACCCAAGATACCCAAGAACTTAGCTAATCGGAGCACTCCCAACGTAATCACATCGTAGAGCACCATAAGACACCACAAACTCACCATAGAAATGATGGGCGGAGATGGGGGTAATGATACTGGATGTGGGGGATTACTGCATTGGATATTATATTACGAACGTGTTCAATATGGATAAAGCGAAAGGTGTAAATTGTTGAAAAAAATATACATAAATGCCTAGAAAAAAATTCTGAATTGTGGCTTTATAATTTTTAAAGTAATTTAAGTAATATTATTAATATTAAGAAACCCCCAACCTTGTCCTATAAAGCCACTTGCCATCTCGTTCTATTTTGTGTCACAATTTCGATGTGTTTTTTGTCATTTTTCGAATACACAAGGCCTTAGGAACTTTCGTATTTATATTTTTCAAGTTTCTCGAACGCAAAATTTTGAAAAAAATTGCGTTTGCCTCACGTGGTGATTCCGGAGCCGGACCAAATGCTGAAGCCACGTCGTGTCCAATTGCTTCTGCTATGCAGTGGCCTCCGCTTCAATCAACTGGTTCAACGTCTTCTCATCGTTAGCCCCCATGGTGCGGGGTCGGGCGGGAGGGCGTGCCAAGTCCGTCGTCATAAATATAGTTGCCTGACCCTCGAGAATGTGAGTCTATATAGGGATATATAAGAATACCTCGGTGAAGTATCGGGTATTATTTTAAAAGATATCCTTGAGAATATGGAGATATCTTTGTAATATTTTAAGGTTTTCAAGTACCGGGTATTGTATACTAAAGACTTTGGAGTAAATTCTTAAGCCCAGGTACCAGGTATTGTATACCTTATCTGCCTTATCCTGGATATCTATAAAACTTTCTTCCTTTTTTTATGAAAACGTCTAGGGATATCTTCTGGTATAGACTCCCAGCTTTATAGAATTACTATATAATTTATATCACCTCCTCCCCCTCAGACATTCAAGTGCTACGAGTTGGAAAATGGCCCTCCAATGGACGTTGAACTGTCCCGCGAAGATGCCATTACCATGTACACCCAAATGGTGGAGATGCGTCGCGTTGAGGTCCTGGCCGATGCCGAGTACAAGAAACGGACTATTCGGGGCTTTTGTCATCTCTATAATGGCCAGGAGGCGGTGGCCATTGGGATGATGCAGCGTCTGAGGAAATGTGATTCCGTAATAACGGCCTACCGCTGCCATGCATGGACCTACCTCATGGGCGTATCTCTGCACGATATGATGGCCGAGCTGTTGGGCTTCAAGACGGGCTGTAGTCGCGGCAAGGGCGGCTCCATGCACATGTACAGCGACAAGTTCTATGGCGGCAATGGCATTGTTGGGGCCCAGGTGCCACTCGGTGCCGGTGTTGCCCTCGCCCATCAGTACCGTCGGGATGGGGGCGTCTGTGTGGCCCTCTATGGCGATGGTGCCGCCAATCAGGGTCAGATCTTCGAGGCCTACAATATGGCCAAGTTGTGGTGCCTGCCCTGTATATTCGTTTGCGAGAATAATCATTATGGTATGTTATTATAGTGGTTAGGAAAGGCTTTCTTCTGAAGACTAGTGCTCTCCCTTTTTCTAAGCAATTTGTCTTAAACTTTACATAGATTTGTATTATGGTAAGGAAACTTAAAAAAGAAGAGTATTAGTCCACTACATACAGCTTATAATGAGGTATTACCTAAAATATCTATAATATCTCTATTATACCATCTTCTTTTGATGATAACTGGGCTAAAAGAAGTCCAATTCTTAAAAGGTATACCTTCCTAATCTTGGATTTCTTAGAACTTTCTTTAGGTTCAAAAAACTAACTACAAAAAATTTTAAAATATTTTCGAAAATTTTTCTAAAGGGTACCATCATAAAAATTTACGAAAATCGATAAAATTTTTTGGTTTTCATATTTTAACGTAGATTTATGGGTGTTTCAGTGACAAACTTTTAAAGGTATTCCATTCGGAAATCGGTTAAAAAATGATCAAGATATGGCATTTGAAACATCTAAAAAATGGCTAAAAAGTCGGAGTTACCCAAAGGTCCAATAAACCTCCATTATACCATATTTCCTTGATCATAACTGGGCCAAAAGAAGCCGGATTTCAGAATGTCATACCTTCCTAATCTTGGATTTCTTAGTACTTTCTTTAGGGTTAAAAAACTAAGTACAAAAAATTGTAAAATATTTTCGAAAATTTTCCAAGGGGTACCATCATAAAATTTTACAAAAACCGATGAAAATTTTTGGTTTTCATATTTTAACGTAGATTTGTGTAGATTTCAAATACAACCTTTAAAAGGTACGCCATTTGAAAATCGGTTAAAAACTGATAAAGATATTTAGCTTTAAAGTTTTAAAAAAAATATATCAAAAAAATGTAAAAGATTGTATTAATTTTAATATATTTTCTTGATTTTTAGGAATGGGCACCCGAGTAGATCGTGCCTCCGCCATGACAGAATTCTACAAACGTGGCCAGTACGTGCCCGGACTGTGGGTGGACGGCAACCAGGTGCTGGCCGTGCGCAGCGCCACCCAGTTTGCGGTGGACTATGCCGTGGAGCACGGACCCATCGTTTTGGAGATGTGCACATACCGGTATGTGGGCCACTCGATGTCCGATCCGGGCATCAGTTATCGATCCCGCGAAGAGGTCAACAAAGTGAGAGAGACCCGTGATCCGATCATCAGTTTCCGGAATCAAATGATCCAACTGTGCCTGGCCACCGAGGAGGAGATCAAGAAGCTGGACGGCGAGATCCGGAAGCGTGTCGATGCCGAATGCAAGAAGGCGCTGGGCGGGAAAGAGGTGCCCCTGGAGGAGCTCTATGCGGATATCTATTCAAAGAATTTAGAACCGAAGATCCGTGGAGTCTCTGGCTATGTATATAATCACTTTAATATCGCTGATGTCTGTTTCGGGAAGCCCCGAAAGACTCCGGCCAACGAGATATGTGATGTGCCAGTGGGCGATGCTGCACTCCTTGCCAAGGCGGCGGAGGACAAGAAAAAGAAGGAGGCGCAGAAGAAGGCTAAGGATGGCGATAAAAAGGACAAGGATGGCGGCGCAGCCAAAAAAGGTAACACCGATTCCAAAAACGATGCAAAGGCGAAGGCTGGTGGCGCTGCCAAGGCGGAGAAGAAGCAACCGGATAAGCCAGCTGGTAAGGAGGGTCCAACACCATCGCCATCATCGCCACCGCCGCCGGCATCGGGTGGTAAGCCACCTGCCGCCAAAAAGTAGAGCTCTGGCCAGCGGAGGAACGTGGAGGTAACACATAGTGGAGTGGGCAGCTATCCCGGTATCGCGATACCGTTCCAGTAATCGGTATCCGGGTGCCATGTATCATAAGTCAAGTAGCCCACCCCCCAAGATGCTTCTGTTGGAAAGCTTTATTATCCAAGATTCGAACCAAAATTGTGGCCATAAATTGTATAGTTCATATTCACAGTAAATTCTAGTTAAAGATCTTTTTCGCCAAAAGTTTTACTTGCTAAGAAAAAAAATTAATAAAAAATCCTTAATTTATTTATTGGATTTCGTTCCAGTGCAGATCAGATTTTAGTTAATATTTATATTATATTTTGTCTAACCCTTTCCCAAATCTCAAAAACTTCAAAAACTTTAAAGAAATTAAAAATAAAACACCTTATCCTCTTTAGTTAGTAACCACTGTAAAAGCTCTTAACCCCAACGCCACCCCCACAACCCCACCCCAAAAAAGCTCCCCAAACAGACACCTGTAGGAGATCGAAAGATTTTTATTTTTTTTTTCTCGTACAGCACATTCCGTATTCCATATTCTATGTAGAAGAACCTATATAGCCTCAGTCTGGTAATCAGGGTAGTTCGTCCATTTATCATCCATTTAAATGGCGGACAAGTCCACGCGCTGCCTATGGCCCGTCTCGCTCGCACAAAGTTTGGCTTGCCCGCTTGCACACATAGGGGACACCTGCCCGTGTCGTCGGTGTCGCTGGGAAGAAGAATCCGCTGCGAAGAATCCGAAGAAACGGGGATTCAGTCTCCTCGCGATGCTCTGGCACTGATCTTCTCTCCGCCGATCTTCACGTGCGTTTTATACCTTTTTTTCTTTTGATTTTCCGGCTTTCTTTCTCTGTCTTGTGGGTGCAGTTAAAATAATATATTATTTTTTTATTTTTATGTGATATATGTGCTATAAATGGTGACAATTTTAAGTCATTAAAGAAGCCACAAATGGCAAAAATACAATAAACTTTTAAAGGAGAAATATTAAAATAATTGCGGTTGGCTAGAAAAGTTTATAAATTAGTGCTTTTAAACGGTTTTTTAGATAGGAAATAAAAAATAAAAGAGTTATGAGTGTTTCTTTAATAATCCATGTATAAGATTATAATAAAAAATATACAAAAAGTGAGTGTTTTTAGTTTATAACAAAATATTCATGTGAGGTGTTAATGTTCTTTAAACTAAATACTTAAAATAATAATTCTATCAACTAACTTAAAGAAAACTTAACTAAATCATATAACATAATTATTTCGAAACATATTAAAACAAGTTCCAAAACAAAGCCATTTATAAAATATCTATAGAGATATAAACACACAAATGAGAACATAAAATGTCACATAAATTATATAGAACAAGTTTCCAAGAAATTTGCCAACAATTTCCTAACAATTTATATTAATAAATATAAAAATATAAACGTAAAGTAAAAATAAAACAAAAACCTAGAATTAAATAGAATTAGTCTATATTTTCTGTCAGTTTACTTTTCCTCTTTTTTTTAGAAAAAAAAACAAAAAACTAGAAAACTCAAAACTGACAAGTTTGACAAACAAATTTCAACATATAGTATCTCTGTTTTTTTTTTTAAGAAATTTTCATTTGTTTATTTTTGGTTTCCTGCTGGGAAATACTTATTTCTTAAAATTTGCACTTTGTGTTTTTGTTTTTTTAGTGAAAAAATATTTATGCTTATTTTTCTTACCCTGTGACAGAAATTACCGAAACAATATAAAAGCAATGAACACAAACTAAAAATATGGAAAATTTTAAAATGAAAACTCATAAAAATAAATAAATTATTGAAACACCCTAATTAATACTCAATGACCAAAAACAACAACAAAAAAATAAGCAAGGAGGGGCTACAACAACAAATATAATTAAAACAACTATAATTGATGGATATTCTGGCCAGAAAAATAAATGTAATTAGCAATTAAAAAAAAAATAAACAAGAAAGCAGGTAAAAAATAAATTATATGATTTATTTTTGTAATGATTAGATTCTAATTTCTTTTTATTATTAGCTTAATTTAAATTTTAAATAATTTATGTCTTCATTTCAATTTCAACCAAGAGCTGATCAAATAAACTCAAATACCCATTTTTTACGCTCGACTTCAAGTGATACACTTGAGCAGCATTTTGTTTTTTATTTTTTGATGAAGAGATCATTCAGGAATACAGAGAGAAAAAGAAGACAACTGTCTTCTTATATATTCATTATACAGGTATAGATGATCCAGGGCCGAAAAAGTCGAGTGGCATTTTTTCAGTATTTCCGCTACATTTGCATAGACGGCGGCATGTGGGGGCTACAATGGGGGGCTCTGAAGAGTGTAAGGTGAACGAAGAATCACTGAGAATCATCAAGAATCTTCTTCGATTAAAATTCAGCTAAAAAGCAAAAATAAAAGACACTGACTGTAATGCGAAGCACATGTGATGAAAGATCATGATCTGGAAATGAAAACGAAAATGGAACCAACACGGCGTATACTCAACTAAATTGAGACGAGGAGCGCCCAAGGCGAGCTAATCCCGCATCTAATAAATATAATCATCATTTCTGCTGCGGTCCCTCTTGAAATTCCCAATTGAATAATTGAACAATCTAACGTTTCTCGGGGTCATCTCTGGCTTTTATTTTATTTCTTTTTAAATTTTAAAAAGTCTCTAAAAGAAGATCTATTCATTCTAAAAATTCATTAAGATGAAGATCTTGGACGAATATATAAAGGCAATCCTATACATGTTATATATCTTTTTTTTCTTAAATAATTGTGTTTTTTTAAAGAAAAGTCTCTTTATAATTTATAATTTTTATAACTTTACAAAAATATATTTTTTGTAGTGTAATTTCTTGAATAAGATATCTGTTCAAGTCTGTTTATATAGATAATGGCATTTATAGAGTGATCTTAGCAATTTTCATTTCCCTCATTCCTTATCGGCACTATTTTCCCTTGTGTTTCTTTTATTTTTATTTCTTAATTTATTTTTTTTGTAAAACGACAAAGAGAAACTGATGACGCGACCTTGGATCAAAATAGATTTTTATGCGCAAATTATATATTTATTTATTTTTTTTTGGTGGGTTTTTTGTTTTTATTTTTATTTTTGTACAAAGACGATCGCCGCACGTCACCAAATGCCATACAGCAATCGCGGAATATTTTTCCTCTGAATTTCCGAGAATCATTTTGTAGAAATTGTCTTTTAGAATTTTGGCCCCTTTTCGAGGCGTTTATACATTTTTTTTTGACCAAAAATATTTGGCCCAAAGAGATGCAATGAGAAGATGTCTGGCTACAGAGATAAGATCTTTACAATTCAAGTGGAATTCTAAGCAATTGCATTCGCATTTGCATTTAAATTCAAATTCCTTCGGTAAAGTGCAGTCGAATATTTAATTTAAATGAGCCAAAGAGCAAATTGAAATTGAATTGCATTTTGGCTTGAATTATTGGGGCGAAGGGGAGGATAGTTTTTGGACGGGTGGATGTAGTAGTCGTAAAAATAAAAGCACTTTTTGGCTGGATTGTTGAAAACAGTTTTTCAACAGCGAATCAAATTTTTATGCCTGCTTTTGTTGAAGGCCCTCCCACACACTCCACTCCAATTCAATCTGCCTCTATGTAAATATCAAAAAATAACGCCAGCTGTACGTTTTATATGGGTTTTTAATTGAAACTTTTAAATAGAATATTCACCCTGAAAATGAACAGTTTTTAATTGAGATTTGAAAATCTCATTCGGGATATTTGGTTACAGAGAAAACAACGATTTAATATTTTATGAAATATTTCAAATACCGGGGAATTTTGTTCATTAATTTAAATTCTAAATGTGTTTTTAAAAGACTAAGTTAAAGGTTAAGCTCTAGAAGGCCTTAATATTCTATAATATTTACGAAATCTTACCTTACATCATTTTAAAAAGGCAAATAATTTATTTTCTATAAACTTACTCTTCAAAAGTGTAATACCCTTAAATCTCTCTTTTTAATCTTTATGCCCTTCCAATGGCTTTCAATTTATTTCCCCAAAATCTTTCAAAAAGTAAATATTATTGCTCAAAATTCATAAATTAATATGCAAAGAAATACCAAGCCCACTTTCAATGTATTTTATTTAAGAGGAAACCTTTAGCTCAAAATCTGACATCAGCTACAAAATAAATTCCCAGTTTTTGTTTTTTTGGTAGATTATTTTATGAAAGCGACGACAAATTCCTGACAATTAGTCAACCGCATGAAGTAGGAAAAACATTTTGGGCCTCAGGCATAAAAAGCGGATTAAATTTTTTGTATTATTCTATTTTTTTGTTTTAAGAGAGAGAATGAAAAACTAAAGAGGAAAATGTAGGAAAAACACAAATACACAGCCACACAAATGGACAGAAATTGCAATCGAGAGCATGACAATATTATTTATTTAATTTGTTGTGTTTTCGGTTCAAAAATAGATGCCAAAAACAACAATGGTGGAAATTTTAAGGAAAACTGCAAATGTCTCAGAAATGAAAATCAAGAGACGAACGTGACAGAAAGATATAGATGGAAATATAAATACAAAGCCAAATAAAAACTAATAATTCCAAAGAAAACATAAAAAAAGCAACAAAAATGTGGACAATAATGCATTTACTTGTCAGGTGGAAAAATCTTTTTAAAAAAATCACGGGATAAGGGGGTTATGTCCATTAGACTCTGAATCAGCCAGCAGTGCTCTAATGACGAACCCCCTTAACCAAAATAAACAATCCGCAACGAGAGGAAGTGCTATATCTCTTGACAGCTCAATGCCGTGCGACTATATCTCTTTAGACCCGAAAAGCAAGGGGCATTAGGCACTAAGGTGAATACTTTTGGGGGAGACTATCCCCCAATCATCAGCCGGAAAATGACTCAACCAAAACAAAAAAAACTAGAACATGATTTTTCCGCCAAATTTCCTCAGGTGATACCAAAAAACAAACAGAAAAGGTGTTTTCATTTTGACAGATGAGCTTATTTCAGAACAATATAGACAAATATCTCTTGGAAAATTGTGCAAAAGTTGTTAGATGGCTATATCTTCCCCAATTCTCATCCGATTCTCAAGCGGAGTACCTTAAACGATTTCTATATCGATTCTGCACCATTCTGCATCAAGATCCTGAGCCGAAACATTTTTCAATTTTTTGTCCATTTTTCATGATGGGATCCCTTGAAAATGGGGTTTTCTCCTATAGGGCCCACACTGATGGCTATATCTTCCTTAATTCTCATCCGATTCTCAAGCGGAGTACCTTAAACGATTTCTATATCGATTCTGCACCATTCTGCGTCAAAATCCTGAGACGAAACATTTTTCAATTTTTTGTCTATTTTTCATGATGGGATCCCTTGAAAATGGGGTTTTTCCCTATGGGGCCCACCGTGATGGCTATATCTTCCCCAATTCTCATCCGATTCTCAAGCGGAGTACCTTAAACGATTTCTATATCGATTCTGCACCATTCTGCATCAAAATCCTGAGACGAAATATTTTTTCCATTTTTTGTCTATTTTTCATGATGGGATCCCTTGAAAATGGGGTTTTGCCCTATAGGGCCCACAGTGATGGCTATATCTTCCCCAATTCTCATCCGATTCTCAAGCGGAGTATCTTAAACGATTTATAGATCGATTCTGCACCATTCTGCATCAAAATCCTGAGACGAAATATTTTTTCAATATTTTGTCCATTTTTCATGATGGGATCCCTTGAAAATGGGGTTTTCCCCTATAGGGCCCACACTGATGGCTATATCTTCCTTAATTCTCATCCGATTCTCAAGCGGAGTACCTTAAACGATTTCTATATCGATTCTGCACCATTCTGCGTCAAAATCCTGAGACGAAACATTTTTCAATTTTTTGTCCATTTTTCATGATGGGATCCCTTGAAAATGGGGTTTTCCCCTATAGGGCCCACACTGATGGCTATATCTTCCTTAATTCTCATCCGATTCTCAAGCGGAGTACATTAAACGATTTCTATATCGATTCTGCACCATTCTGCATCAAAATCCTGAGACGAAATATTTTTTCAATTTTTTGTCCATTTTTCATGATGGGATCCCTTGAAAATGGGGTTTTGCCCTATAGGGCCCACACTGATGGCTATATCTTCCTTAATTCTCATCCGATTCTCAAGCGGAGTACCTTAAACGATTTCTATATCGATTCTGCACCATTCTGCATCAAAATCCTGAGACGAAATATTTTTTCAATTTTTTGTCTATTTTTCATGATGGGATCCCTTGAAAATGGGGTTTTTCCCTATGGGGCCCGAGTGATGGCTATTTCTTCCCCAATTCTCATCCGATTCTCAAGCGGAGTACCTTAAACGATTTCTATATCGATTCTGCACCATTCTGCGTCAAAATCCTGAGACGAAACATTTTTCAATTTTTTGTCCATTTTTCATGATGGGATCCCTTGAAAATGGGGTTTTGCCCTATATGGCCCACACTGATGACTATATCTTCCCCAATTCTCATCCGATTCTCAAGCGGAGTACCTTAAACGATTTCTGGATTGATTCTGCACCATTCTGCATCAAAATCCTGAGACGAAATATTTTTTCAATTTTTTGTCCATTTTTCATGATGGGATCCCTTGAAAATGGGGTTTTGCCCTATATGGCCCACAGTGATGGCTATATCTTCCTTAATTCTCATCCGATTCTCAAGCGGAGTACCTTAAACGATTTCTATATCGATTCTGCACCATTCTGCATCAAAATCCTGAGACGAAATATTTTTTAGATTTTTTGTCCATTTTTCATGATGGGATCCCTTGAAAATGGGGTTTTGCCCTATAGGGCCCACACTGATGGCTATATCTCTCCCAATTCTCACCCGATTCTCAAGCGGAGTATCTTAAACGATTTCTGTATCGATTCTGCACCATTCTGCATCAAAATCCTGAGACGAAATATTTTTTAAATTTTTTGTCCATTTTTCATGATGGGATCCCTTGAAAATGGGGTTTTGCCCTATAGGGCCCACACTGATGGCTATATCTCTCCCAATTCTCACCCGATTCTCAAGCGGAGTATCTTAAACGATTTCTGCATCGATTCTGCACCATTCTGCATCAAAATCCTGAGACGAAATATTTTTTAAATTTTTTGTCCATTTTTCATGATGGGATCCCTTGAAAATGGGGTTTTGCCCTATAGGGCCCACAGTGATGGATATATCTTTCCCAATTCTCATCCGATTCTCAAGCGGAGTATCTTTAACAATTTCTGGATCGATTCTCCACAGTTTTGCTGCAAAATATAACAAATATATGTATAGAAAATATTTCAATAACAATTAAATTGAATTTTTATTAATTTGAATAAACTTTTGAACCGCACTTACCAGTCACCTGTTTGGACAATCAAATTAAGTAGATGGGCCATATAAATTTTGCAGCTGCAGTCAGTTTTTAGACCCAATTTAATGTGAACCGAAATGAGTCTTTTGATTGCCTATTCCCGGCACGTATAATGCGTGAATATCGAATGGGATTTGGCCATAAAAACGCCAAATCAGCCAACAACCATCCGGCAATAGCCAACAGCCAACAAAATGGTCAATTGAGATGCAATAAGGCACTAAACGTTAAACATTAAATAATTGACATGTCCATGTTGCTGGCCAAACAAAACCGAATATCAAATTAAATGTTTTCAGTTTTGTGTACCCAAAGCAAATAATTCCAGCATTACTCTATATACTGTATATACTCTATATATAATATTTGATATATGCATATCGGATATCGTGCAATAGCCATGTCGCAGCACGTGCTCGGCTTTAAAAATTTGAATTTGAAATCACAAATGAGGAATCAAATGAGCACGTGACATTCAGTTTATGATAAAAGCTCTAAAATAACCCATAACACTCACTTACCTTCCCACCGCCCTCAAAAAAGGCTGCATTAATTGATTAATTATGCAAATTTAAACGCCAGGCTGACAAAAATATCAAAACTTTGTTTACTTTTGAGACCGCTAAGTCTACAATTGAAATTACAGAACGTGCTAAGGTTTACCTTTCGAAGTCGGGGGGAGTGTACAATAAATGCTCTTTTCTTATTAAAAAAAAATATTTACAAAATTAAAAGTATTCAAACAAGAGAATACACATTTTAGATAGATTTTTATAGAAAAAATGGAACAATTTTGTATTTGAAAACTTTACCAATTTAGAATAACTTTTTATCTACCATCCAACATTATAAACTTTTCCAAAAACCTTATAAAAAATTAACCCAATAAAATTGTTCAAACATTAGGTTGAACATAACATATAAAAGATTGAATAATTTTAAAATTTAAATTAAATAATTCTTGCACAAATTATTAAAAGAAAAAAATGTATACAGTCCACTAAAAATTATAATCGAAGAAAAGGTTAAAGTAACATCAAATTTATTCAAAAAATATTAATCAAAAACACATTAAATTTACGCCTCTTTTTGTGGCCCTTTCCAGAATGTTCAAGCATTGAACACTATGTTTTATAGAAATTCTTAAGTTAGAGTTTCAAGGGATCGAACCCATGAAATACGAGTCAAACAGATGGTTCAAAACCGATCCCCTGCAGCCTAACACAAACAAATACATAAGTGGTGCGCTTATCGCACTGGAGAAAGGGTCGCATAGCATGTCAACGTGCAGTGCGTTGATAAGTAGTTTTAAATACATAGTTTTAAGATTCTCATGTATCGTACTTATAAGAGAACTTTGACGAATAAAATCAGTTTCCATAAGGAGCTCATTGGAGTACGACCTTTATTTTGGGGCTCCTCTTAACAAAAATCAAAAAACATAATTAGTACAATAATGTTTGCCAATGTCTTCAGATATTTAAAAATAAACACAAAAAAACAAACATAAACATAAGCACTGGAACAGCCATTAATTGAACAGACAGTCTTCTATATACATATTATCATGTCCACCTGTGCGTATACGTAATTAATTCCATTATAATCTTTTTCATAAAAATACAAACAAAATATTTGTGGAGATTCCATTTCTTTGGTTTTCGCGAATTTTCAAATGTGTAGCTCACACATGCGGCGTATACGTAATATGTCCCAACAAATGGTTAAATTTCATGATAAAAATGTTCGCAATGTTTAAATTACGCTAAAAATAGAAGGGGGGAAAAAAAACAAAGGAAAAAAAAAGCAATTTTTAATTCGGTTTGTTTCCATCAACACCTTCAATGAAAGCTTACAAATATTTGCAGTTCGTGTTTATTATTTATTTTCTTGATTTCGTTTTTTTTTTGTTCTTGGTTCTCCTGTATTTTGGCCATTTTTATGAGCCCTGGCTTCAACTGTTTATAAACAAAAATGCCCAATTGACTGCCAGCCAAATGATGGCTAAACAATAATAATAATAATAATACGTAATAAGAATGTAGTCCGGGAAAGCCATGGAAACGAACTGAAAAGAAAAGAACAATTTCAGTTCGTGTATATTTTTCTTCGACCAAATGCCAAAAACCTAGAAAATAAACTACGAGTGCGAGTAATAGGAAAGCAAACAATGCGAGTGGAAAGCCGAAGGTGAGGTGACAATGGGATTCAAACGAATCGAATAATAAATATTACGAAAAATGTATAAATATTTATAAATATATACACATCAAAAGGTAATACCTAAACAGCTAGAAATACCTGGAAATTTCATAAGGTTTTGGTTTTTAAAATACAACTCTTTTTAAAAATATTTGGTTAAGCCAGCGTATGAATCATTATTGAAGTATTTCTACGTTTCCTGATTAGTTTTCAAACTTTAAATGTTTACATTTTATCAAATTAAAGTTTAAAAATAAATGTGATTTATTATCAAGTCTTTAAAGTGATTTAAACTTAAAAATCACCCCAAAATTGCGTACATTTATATAAAAAAAAATCCATTAATAATCATCTGGCAGAAGAAGCTGGAAAAACAAGGGCAGCCGAAAAAGTGAATAAAATAATAATAAAAACCTTTTAGCATATCCACGGCAATCCCTCGAGCTAATGAGGCGAGAGGATACCAGGCTCTTTTTTTTTTGTATTTCTGGGGTTGTTTCTGGGGAATTCCCTGGTACGGCCACGCCTCCTTTTTGCCCACTATTCCACTTTTCTCAGCTGGAATAACAGACAACATTGTTGCCAGCTTGTTTTTAGTTTTTATATTTTTTATTTTGTGCTTTTTTTTTGGAAAAAGTGTGGAGCATGTGCAACAATGTTTTTATTTTGGCTGTGCTTATTTTTAGTTACTTTTTGTTGCCTTCGCTGAGCGAGAAAAATAACTTTCTAAATAAACGCAGCGCAGTTAGCAACAATGGAGGCTAACACACACACACACACTCGAGCACTAACACTAACAGGAGGCACACTTACAAGCACACACACACACTCATATATATATAAACACTTTCCGCTTTTGCTGTCTGCGCATTTTCGTGACGCTTTTCCCTTCTTTTATTTTCATTTTTAGTATTTTCTTGTTGTATTTTTTTATACTCTACTCTGGAAGAGGTTTTAGGATTTTTTGGTATATTTTGGAAAAGGGTTTTTCGAGGCCGTCCTTATGTTTCTATGCTTATAACCCTTGCAATTTCAAAACTACAGACCTGAAACTTGGGATATAACCTTATTATGATTATCAGAAATATATAAGTAAAATTTTATAGAAATCGCTTGATTATATCTTCTTCTTCCAATCAGAAAAGTATTATAAAAAGTTTCTCTTAGGATATAAAAAACCTCTCTTTTAAAAATCTAAAACTTATAAAAGTAACCCCCTAAAGGGTATACAAACTTCGACTATACCCGATTCAAAAATATCCCAACTTGTTGTGTTGTTGTTGTTTTGGTCGCGTGGCGAAGTTTCCTCCTTGCAGCGTTTTCATTTTATTGCCGCGCAGATTAGAGTTGCAAAATTGTTAAATTTTCATTCCAATTGCTTTGCATCTGCTTCTTTCGTTTTAATTTTATTTTTTAACAAAAAACTTTTTGTGGTGCAAAAAACCAAAAAAAAAAAAGCAGGAAAATCCTTAAGTCCTTTAGGCCAATTAATTGACAGGAAGGAAGGAGACAAAAGTAATCAGGATAATGGTAAGTAAATAAACGCTTGGCTAACCGCATAAATAATTGTGAATGAAAAGCAACTAATTGAATTAAGTCAACTGCCAATTCATAAATTAAAAATAAATTGCAAATTAATTGTGAAGAGGATTCTGGGAAATAATTTTTGAAAAATTAGGGGTTGCTTGTTAAGAAAAAAACACAATTAGCTTTCTATTTTCTAATTTTCTACCAAACCAAAGCACATGCTTTTAATAACATTCTAATTTTAGTATATTGCTTACTTTTAAAAAAAGTATAGAAATATAATGTGTTTGTTTTAACGATTTTGGCAAAAAATATAATTATGGCCTTATGGCTTGCTTTTCTTAAAAATTTATAGCTGGCCATAAAAAGTATAATTTGTTTGAAAAGTAATTTGTATTTTGTTAGCCTCATAAATATTTATTTGACTTATTTTTTTTTGTAAATCTTAAACGTCTTAGAAATATATATTACATCCATACTCTAATATATACATTTTTGTTTAGAACCAGCTGCAGTGGCGGTGTTATAAAATTTAATTAATGCACCCAAGGGGGTGAAGGGTTAGCCAGGAGCGGAGTCAAAAGGGTGAGTCGGCAAAGGGTGCTAAGAAACGCGCTAAGCCCATCCAGAGATGAAGCTCCAAAAGGCTTTGTCTGGAGCTGTGTTGTTTTTGGGGCCAGGTGGAAGGTGAAAGGTGTCTCTACACAGATATAACTATTTTCTTTGAAAAATATTTATTAAAATTAATAGTTGTATATTTTTAAAAAGATAAGAATTGTATATTTTTTGGTTTTTTGAAATTTGAAATTATTGTTGAAATATTCCAATTTCTACTCTTATCTCCTAAATCTTTTGAACTTCTTCTTCTAAACTTTTTAAAGAGACTTTCTTAAGCAAGATTTTTTTCAGTGGGTATTCCTTATGTAGATTCTCTCCTCCCCTAGCCCTCCCCCTTTTCTCAGGCACCCCTGGACTAACGCTACGGACAGCTGTAAAGTGCTTTGTTAATTAGCAAACTGGCGCGGAGAAGGAGGCACGCCAGAAGGATTCCGGGAGACCCCATCGTAGTCCCGTGTGCTCCCCCCTCATCACCAAACTGCAATGAAGGCCCGAAGAGCCTAGACGGTAGAACGGTGAACGTATAACGGTGAATAGTGAACGGTGAACGGTTCAAGTCGCAGCTGCAGCTGCCTGCTGGCAATAATTTGCGCCCGCAAGTATGCAACACATTTTGCCACGGCATGCGTGTGAGCCAGTGCGTGAGTGAGTGTGTGTTTATGGATACATATGTGTGTGTGTGTGTTAGTGTTCGGTAGTGTGTTAGTGTTTGTATGCCTGCATTGTACTTCGCACACTATTTGTCAATGTCAGAAGGGATTCCCAGCTACTTTCTGCTCCAGATCCCGCCCGTAAAGCCCCCAGAGTTTTCCCTCCACTAACCCTAAATTTCCCGGCCAAAGTGTTGGCATCCCAACACTTTCAAACGTTTATCTATGCGTATAATTGAGCACTGACTTTGCTCTTGCCACGAAAACCTCTATATTCTCTTTATTTTCTATTCTTTTATTTTTTTTCCAATCATCCAAATTGAGCGGAAGTTGTTTTCCCCAAAAAAAAAAAGAAAAATAGTTGATCAGGAAAGTAGGGTTCTTTTTTTTTATAAAAGTGATGGAATGTATTTAAATTAGGGGGATTTTTCGAAGGAAAATTGTGTTAGTGTTCGGTTTGGTTAAGATTTAACTCATTTTTGTTCATCAAAATCTAGTATTTTGGGCTTTAAAACAATTTCAAGACCCTTTTTGGGCCAAGTAAACTTTCTTAAAAATACTTCCTTATAATATCTTTCTTTAAATATATTTTTTTCCCAAATTTTTAAACCTTTTTTCTGGTTAAGCAATAAAGTAAAGTTTGTCGTAAGCATTATATTTGCTAGCAAAATATATATCAAGTTAATATGGCACACACACACACATACACTCACAACTAGAGAGACACTCACATACATGATAGCTAGAGCGCCCTAAAGTATGCAACACATTTCATTTGCATGTTTTGCGACGATTTTCAGGTTTACTTTTTTTTTTTCTCCTTTTTCATTTTGTCTGCCCGCTTTTCTTCTTTGCACTCAGCTTTGCTGATATGGCCTGTCTACACTCCCCTTTCCCACTCCCAAGGGGGGGCGTGGCAGGGTACGAAAGGGGAAGGGGGGGGTGACGGGGGCTGAAAGATAGAGAGCAAAAGCGCAAAGCGCAGCGCGTTGTGAAATGCAAGCGAATTTGCATAGAAAATAGACAGTTTGGAAAATTGCATTCCATGTTGATAACTTAAGGCCCCTTGCATCATGTTACCCCCCCTCCTCCTTCTCTCCTCTCATTTTTTCACCTTGCCCCCGCCCATTTTTTGGCACTTCCCCCCACCATCCCACCCCCTTTATCGCATCCCTCTTGAAAATTGCCAGCTGCAATTGAAAACGAGCTTGAAGCACGCAACGCGTGTGCATAAATAACTTGTTTAAGTTTTATGGCAATGGACGCTGGTCCTTTCCGCAGAGTCCTGGTGGGTCCTTCGGCTCTACCTCATACCTTATCCCATCCAACCATCTAGCTAGGTCTCCTCCCCTCCCTGCAGAGAACAAAATGTATGATTTTTAATAAGTGTGGGCCTTGTGTTTTCGACATTTTTATAATTTTTGCATATTTTAGCTCAATATTTTATGTGATTTTGAAAGAGATGTTTTATTATGTTATTTATAGTTTACCTTTTCATTTAAAATTTTGGAAAAATTGTTTTTATTTCCACTTTAACATTATTTTTAAAAATCTCTTAATCTTTATAACATAAAGCTCACATTTATGATGTCTATAATTTAATTATATTATTTTCTCTTGAACCCAAACTTAGCCTATGTAATTTGTATGTCCCCCCATTTTCCTAAGTGTATTTGTGCTTGTCACACGATTTATAAATGCTTGGCAGGGGACTTGCCATTCGGACCGGGTCACACCTTGAGCGAAATGCAATTTTGTCTGCCAAGCCAAGGTATCATCAAAAACACGAGAAGACACGGGTGTGTGGGTACAGAGGTAAAGGAGTCTGCTTGAAGGATATGGGTTTTCGTCCAGATTGTGGACAGAGAGCGAGAGAGAGAGAGAGATAGAG